TGCTAACTTGCTTGATAATTCTTTTATTTTGGAGGTGAGATGGTGAATTCCTTGGGCACTTTAGAAGGAGGAATTCCTCGGGCACTTTAGAAGGAGGAATTCCAAGTTTCTCTCGATATAGTGAGAAACGTTGATTGTTTCTCACAGGGTATTATCGTCAACTCGCACCAATTAGTAAGGTTCACTTATCTGATTTTAGAGAGAAGAAAAGTGAAACAGTGGAAAATGGAGTATGGCCGCACAAACACTTGGGTGCGGGTGCCCGCACCCAATAGTTTGTGATAATGTTTTAAGCGGCGTTTGAAACGGACGTTTGTGTTCTCTGTTAACTAAGTCTATACCTTGGTGGAGCTGGAAGCCCTCTTTGCAACGAAACCCTAAAAGTCAAATCTTCTGAATCGGTGATGAATTGGATGTTAATTGGTTGTTAATGGTGATGTTAGTTCATTGAAGGTATGTCAACATGGATTTCTTTGTCATTCTATCGGAATTCACATGTTTTGTTATAATAGATGTTGATTTTATCTAAGCTTTGGTTAATTGTTTTCAAATTAATAGATTTTAGTGAGCTTTTGTGCTTCGTGATTTGGTAACAGTTAATAGAGCTACATACGAATTGTAAGAAGTGTTCATAGCAATGTTGGACATTTATTCATATCAGTGTTAACGCCGTGTGTAAACGGAGAAACTATCTCACCTTTTAAAAACTTTTTTTTAGTAGAGAAATGAAACTGAAAAGCTTATGGGCAATGTTGCAATTTCAAATATTTACGGAAATGCCACAGTGATTAACGAGCACGTTAATCTTCGAGAGTAACCTGGGCAACCCCCTTTGTAAGGGGGGAAAGAATAGTGTGTAAGTTGGGATTCTTTGTTTTACAATTTCTCACAATACTGATTTTTTTAAAGTATTGGAGTGAGTCGACTTACCGTGAGCTCGATTCACACAATACTTGTTAATCATTGAATAAGATAACTAATACAAAATAAAATTGTTTAAGTCAAATTTACTCAAGTTGTTGCCAAATTTATATATAAAGAAAAAAAAAATCTCTTTTCACTTTCCTCATTCCCCCTAGCCTTCATTGTTGATTATTAAAGGGGCTCTATCGGTTTTAACCGGTGGAAAGCCCCAATTCTTAATTATTTCCTTAAAAGTTTTAGGTTATAATAATGTATCCTCCTTTTGAGAGTATCTTTTATTCCTCGAAAGAAAAGATTTTCGATCTCGTTTGAAAGACAATGATTTTCCGACCTCCTTCGAAAGACAAAGTTTATCTTTTTTTTCAAGGGAGAATAAATTTCTTTGTGTTTTAATCCGTGATAATAGATATAATGGATTGTTGTAAAATTATGCGAGATCACAAATGTTATGAAGTTTTTGAATATTATTAGATGAATTAGAAGAAAGACATCTTTACGATTATAAAGTAACGTTAGGTTGTCTCTCAATAATGTTGTATTTTTCAGCGATATAAGTGGGAGATGTTCCACAGTGCAAGATCTACATCATGTATTTGTTATGGTTGAATTTCTTTAGATGTCATAAGATTTTTTATTAATGAATTATTTTTACTATTCAAAAAAAAAAAAGATAATTACCGGATGTCTGCATCGTTTTTTAGAGTAATGATATATGTAGCCCTTAGGGCTATGAATAAGCATTTAATAACTTTCCCTTATTTGGTATTAATTTAGGAATGTATGACAAAATCACGCGCAAATCAATTTAATTAATGTTATATTTTCATTTGTTTTTTCCATTTGTAGCTCCTTATATATAGCCCTAAGGTGAACCGAACATAAGTTTACATCATTAAAGATACGAAAGAAATATTTTTCTCAATATCTTTTTTCTTAAAATGATTGTCTAATCTCGTCCAGGCGTCCATAAAACAAAGGAAATTTTAGATTTTAACACCACAAAAAAAAACCCCGAAAATGGTTTTAACACCCCCATAAAAAAAAATTATTTTAACACCAACAATTTTTTCGAAAATTTGATTTTTCCACCACTTAACAGATTCCATCCATGAAACTGTTAAGTGGGGTCTACACTACCACGTGTCGCTTTTTGTTTGGTTAAAAAAAAATATAAAAAAAAAAGAAAAAAACTTAAAAACCCTACAACCACCACCACCACCACATGTAATACCCCGTATTTTTATACGTATTTTAACTTAAATAAGTATTTCTTAAAGTATTTAAATAAGTTGAAATGAATTATTTATGATGGTTTACTAAATTAAAGAGTTTTAGTTTTAAATTAAAGGTCCAATTTATTTATTTGATAATTTTTGAAATACTTTATTTTATAATTTAAAATCATTGGGGCATATAATTTATAAAAAGGTAATTTTTAAAGTCAATGGTATTTAAAGAAAGTCAAAATGTTGGTTTGAATAGGAAAGGGATCATTAAGGGTAAAAAGGGAATTTAAGTCTAGGAGGGTTTTAGAAAGGGAGTATAAATACCCATCACATGGGCAAATTAAACTTTGCCCAAGGTGGAGAATACCCAAGGTAACACTCTCTTATTTTCCCCTTCCCTTTTTTCTTTTTATTTTGTTTCATCACCACCCACACACACACCATCACCGGTCGGCCACCACCACAGCCACCACCGGCCGGCTGCCACCACCAGCACTCGCCGGCAGCGGCGACCACCAAGCGGGCGCGACAGCAGGCCGGCCTTGGTGGTCGTGCACCCCTTTCGAAAAAAAAAAAATCTTCTTTTGATTTTTAATTAAATCCACCCTTGATCTAATTATTATTTTTGGGTTTTGTGATGATTTTTATGATGTTTGATTTTAAGTATGATGTATATAAATTTTCAGATTTGGTTTTAAATTAAAAGCCCCAAATTACAAACCCTAGGTTTCTAAGTTTATGTATATTGATGGAAATTGTTTATGGGTGATTTAAATTATTGAAATAAGTGTTTTAAAACACAATTACAGCAATTTTAGATGATTTAATAAAGCTGGAATTTTTGTATATAAGCTACAATTAAGTTTCTTGAAAGGATTTTTAATTACCCATTAATTGGGAATAAAAGTAAGGGTTTTAAATTAAATTTCAGCTTGTTTTAAAGGATTTATGAGTAATTTAAGGAGTGTATATATTGCTGGAAATTTGTGTGGAATAGGTATTAATGCCTCTTTGTAATTTTGGATTGTAGGAGATTTCCAAGTGAGTGATTTCTTGTAGTCGTGGCGATTTTGAGATCATATTCTATGTTTGATCGCGTACTTGGTAATTATTTAAATATTTAGAAGCATGCTAGGCTTTGATAAATCAATTCTAAGTAGTATCATGATAGGTATTGCTTGGAATTTGTTGTATGGTTGGTGTTGGAGAATGATTTGTGATGTAAGAATTATTTATGATGAATTGGTGATTGGAATTAAATATGTTGGCATGTTGGATATGAACCACACTTTTATTATTATCATGATGGAAGGTATGTTTAATTAAACTAAATATTTAATTTGGTTTGGAATATGCAAATGAAATTTTATTATGCTTCATATAATTTTTATTGATGCTTTAAGCATGGGAATTGAGTTATCAAGTGTCTTAGTACATAGGAATAAATTATAGTGCGGTGCCTATGTGCACTTAAGGTGTTTCTAACACCGAGGGATAGGATTTGCGGCGGGCATTATGCGTTTAAGGTGTCTTTGACACCGAGGTAGATTAAAAAGGGTTCAACTATTAAAAGTTATGTGGTCACTAATTATTCAAGAATTTAAATTGGTATGTTTGATTGCTTGAATGATTATAATGTTGGATTGTGTTATGGTTGAGAGTCATCACCAAGTCTAGTAATATGTAAATAATGTAAAGTGAAAGAGATTACGCATCAAAACTCTTGGAATGTATATACCTCGAGTATGAACATATGGGGGGAGTTATGCGACTTTATATTTGACCATAACTTCTACTGGGAGTACGGACGCTGTATTTTCCTTTTATGCGCAGGACGCCCGTCACTTCATGCGACGTTTGCCTACCTGGTTAGCTCCCAGTGTAGTTTACCTCAATTTATTTGGGGCAGGGATTTGGTTGGGAACCCGTTCGATGCGTAATCAAATTAAATGGACATTGGTATTTGTCTAGTTAAATGTTGAATGTCTTGTATGCTTGTTTACAGGTGCAACAAGGTAAGTTGTGTGATGATAGGATGAAAGCATGTTAGTGTGTTTTATCACGCTTATGTACTCAGCATTGCTGATTGTGTATTGTATGTTTGTTTGACCTTGTCTTTACCTTGGCCCTATGACGACTCATTTCTAATGGCGAGTAGTTGGGACAAGTAAAGGGAAGTTTTCCAGGTGATGAAGCATTTTCATGATGGGCATGAGTGAAGAGAGAATCATACTTAGTTTCCATAGGAATATGATGTGTTAAAATTGCTTTGAATATTGTTTATTTTATTATGCTCATGAGACTAATGTAAAGGTTTTCAGTATTGTTTGGTTTTAAGGGCCTACAATGGTTCCAAGTTGTAGGTTGACTTTGTTTGACTACGTTTAACTTTGGTTTGACTTTACTTTCATTTGGTTTGACTTTTAAGTTGACTTGTTTTGAATGGTTTTAAAGAAAGTCTTCCGCTGTGTGTCTTTGATATTTGCGTTAGCCGTTTTCACGGTGGCGATAATGTCTTAGATTTTCCTATTTCGTATATTAAAAAGGGCAAACAGGTATTTTAAAGGAAAGGAATTTCTAGGGTATTACACCACATCCCCACCCCACACGCATAGCTTCAACCGCCCGACACCAAACCCACCCTCCTTCCCAGCCTCGACCACCGGAACCCATCCCCCTCCCCAACCCCGACCACCGGATCCCATCCTCCTCCCATTCCGCACCCGTAAACCATCTTAACCGAAACCCTAAATTCTAAAACGACCACGAAAACGACCAGTTATGGCCGAAATCGGCCGGCTTTGGGGTTTAGTGGTCTAAACCTGCCGATTTCGACCATTAATGGCCGAAATCGTGGTCGTTTCTTGGGGGAGGGGGGTTGCGATTTGGGGGTGGTCGGCGATTTAAAGCTAGTCGTGGTTATGGCTGCGGTTATGGTGGGTTCCAGTGGGGCTGGGTTAGGCTGGGGGAGGAGGTGTGTCGATGATGAGCTGCGGGTCGGTGGCTGTGCTGGGTGAGGGCGGAGAATAGGGAGGCGATGGTGGCGCTGGGTAGTGTTAGGATTTTTTTTTTTTGGTTTTTTTGACCAAACAACAAGCGACACGTGGCAATGAGACCCCACTTAACAAATTCATGGACGAAATCTGTAAAGTGGTGGTAAAATCAAATTTTCGAAAAATTTGTTGGTGTTAAAATAATTTTTTTTTATGGGGGTGTTAAAATCTAAAATTTCCTAAGACAAATCCAAAGTCCAAACACATTAGTCCAAAGTCCAAACACACATACCACCCTAAAAATAATAAAAAGACACGTAAAAAAAAGGAATAATAATATTGCAAAAAATCTTATTAATAAAAAAGAAATTGAAAACAATCGTGCTCCAGTTTTCTTCGTTGTTATTTGGTTCCTTTTTCTGACATCTTCTCCCGCTCTCCTCCTTGTCTTCGTTCTGGTTCTCAATTCTCATCAATTTTCTCTCTCATCATTTTCACCTTTCAATCATTCAATTCACGAAGAATTAAATCCCCAAATCGATTAAACTCCATCTCAGTTATTTGCAGTAATTGCCACAATTTTCTTTATCCTCATCCATTTATGGAGTTCCATTACATAATCCTCAGTTCTCTTTACTTCTCAGTAATACTTAATTGATTGATTGTTTTGTAGTTTACAGAGCATTTCTACTTTCCCAGGTTAGTTCGAACTTCATTTGGCTTATTTTCTTTATTTGTTTGATTTGTGAATTGAATTGAGTAGGTTTGTTTTACTGTAATCTGTATTTTATGGAATTGGGCTGGAGGATTTGATTAGATTTTTGTTATGGTAAATCCGTTGCATGTAATTTTATTATGCAAAATGCTGTTCGATTTCTGGAATCTAATGTCACTTCAATGAACCGGTGATTTTGTATCGACATTGACTATTTGATTAGATGTCCATTTCATTACCTGATTATTAAATTTAATGCAGAAGTGAGAAAGATTATTTCGAAGTTTGATTTCGATGATTTTCTTGAATATCTTTTTTAAAAAATCCACTGGTTTTGGAATTGTTGACTGGTTGAGTATGTAATCTCTATGTTTGTGTTAATTTCGGCGTTGTAATATTATTTTAGAGGCCTAATTTTTTACGTTTGTATAACCTAATTAACATAGTTAAGCGACTAAAATAGGAGAGATTCTATAGAAGTTTGATTTTGATGAATTTCTTGGAATTTTCGAAGTGCCTTGGACAGTGTGCCATTTTGAGGATATGGGGAAGCTATTGGGTGCTTATTTTATTTACATTTTTTTTATACTGTGGTAAACATCCGCTGCTTTGTAATTTTGGTGCTTATTTTTTGGGTGTTAAGGTGATCAACTATGGGTGTTGGAGAGAATGGAGAAGGTCCTGCTGTACTGCAGTTGCACAGATGGGATCCTTCTCATATCCGACCAGATCTATCGGAGTATCAAGAAGCTTTTCTTTCTCCTATGAGGGAGCTCCTACTATTGCATTCATATCAAAGTGAAGCTTTGTTGCTCCCTTTATCAAGAGGTGATGCTAATTTGTTTCAAGGAGGTACACTTATTTTTAATGAATTCTTTCAATGTGTATTGACCCTCTCTTTACTCTTTGCAGATGATTCCTATTGCATATCCTCTGAATATTGTAAATATGAAAGTCAAGAGAGTGTAAATTTGTCATCTTCGTCAGCTTGTAGACCAGATTCATTGGGAGATATTCGAAGTAATCCTGAATCAGTGGAAGGGGTTTCTAATGATGTTTATTCTGCTAAGAGCAGTATTTCACAATCAAATACTTTCCCTTCTATATCTGATGTAAGTTCGCTGGCTTGGGGCTTGTGTGGAGATACTTATAAACAGAACAAGGAAGCACCATTTAGGGAATTTCTCATAGTGGTTGGCAATTGTGGTGTAATTTTCCATGCTTTTCGTCAAATTAATGAAACTAATGCAACACAGTCATTTGAAGATGAAAATAAGCCTGGGAGATGGGTGGAATGGGGGCCGGGTAGTGTGTCTCCTTGTGACAATGAAGCTCTTGGAGATGTCAGTGTTGCAAGTAGGACTAGTGGAGCTGAAGGAAATGTGTCTTATACTGGACAGGATTCAACAAGCCATGTCGTGAGTTCCTCAACCTCAAAGAAGTGGCTGCAGTCCTTTTTAAGCTCGTCCAAGGTTATGGAATCTGATGGCACTATACGGACCTGTTTTCCTGAGAAGTTAGTGCTTCCCTGCTCGGCAACTGTTGTCTCATTCTTTGTTGATTTCAGGGATTCTGTACTCGTGAACTTCTATTCCAGTACCCGTTCTGTACTAGATGAAAGCGTACATGGAGAGAAAAGAGTTCAAATTCCATTGGATCATACTTCATTAGATAGCATCAAATCTGTTGCAAATGTTTCCGCCAGCAGTTCCTACACCTGTTTCAGAGTATTTTCAAGTTGGTTTCACTACATGATTGGGTTTGTTTTGTCTGCTGGGTTTGATAATACCAAAATCAGTTGTGATTATAGTTGTGAAAGTCAGGACATAGTGGTTGTTGTTGGTCTTTTAGACATATATGGGATTCAGTGGCTGTATAATGTTAAGCTTCCCCAAAAGGGTATAGGCTTGGAACCTGAGTGGGTAGACTTTCAAATTTCTGACAAGTTTCTCATTTCTCTTAACAAATTTGGATCCATTCTTCTTCATGGTGCAGTCACGGGGGAATATATTGCATATTTGGATATCTTACATATACATGGAGTTAAACCTGAAAAGAATTTGTCAGAACAAGAAACTTCATCAATAGCTATGAATATCGCAGACGGCGATGTATTACGAAATAAGTTTGAGGATACTCAAGCTTGCAGCGTTGCCTATAAACGAAGTTTCAGAAGATTGATTGTTGCTCCATATTCCTGTCAATTCAGTGTTGTTGACGAATGTGGCGTACTTTATATAATATGTGCAAGTGATCACGTGCCTGATAAATATGTTATGATTGACAAGATACTTCCACAATACCTGAAGCTTGGTGTTCTGGCCCCATGGGTTGTTGGTCATTCTAACATAAGTCAACAGAATGTCTTTTGCACTTCTTCAGGCTGTGAGAAGTCAGTTATAAAGGATGACTTAGGAAGTGGTCAACATGTTCAGAACTGGCATATTCAGGGGATGGTCAGTCAAAATGATTTGAATTTGAATGGCTTCGCTACAATTTCCCAGCAAAGCAGTCCAACTGTTTCAGAATCTAGATGCAAGTGCTGTATTAGGAAGTTATTCATTCCCATCGCAAGACATGGTGGGGCAGACATTATTTGTTTTTCTTCTTTTGGGGTCACCCGTCTAATTAGAAGAAATAGTATCGATGAAAGGAGTTGTATTGTTCATACCAGTTTGTACATAGATTCAAAGTTTTGTGATGATAATTGCGTGAATGTTGTAAACAGAACACTTGACCTGCAAAGTGAAGCAAATGTTGTTGATGAAGAGGCTGTTGGTTGCATTTTCCAGGGTTCTTTATATTTAGTTACAAGGAAAGGAGTCTCTATAGTTCTTCCCGCTGTCTCATTGTCATCTAATTTCCATACCATTGACTCTATTAGCTACCATTCGACAAAAACTACTCAATCGACTGCACTTAACTTACAGAAGTCATCGATATATGATAAATCAAAACAGCTTCGGTCTCCATGGCAAGTCGCAGTTCTTGATAGAATTATTCTATATGAAGGTCCTCATGAAGCGGATAGGTTGTGTTTGGAGAATGGTAAGTGCTTTCTTTAACTCCCATGCTAGTAAGTGTACTGCTTTTTTTTTTTTTTTTTTTTTTTTTATAGCTTTAATCTGAATTGAGTGGAATCCCTTCCGTTCTTTAACAATATCTGTAGAAGAGCTTCAGTTAGAACTTGTGGATATTTTCTTTGAGTGCTGATGTCCAATGTTTATCAACTTAGTAGAGTATGTACTATACGACCCCCAGTGCTCTCTCTTTTCTTGTAGAAGTTTCTCCTTCAATAGGCTTGTTCTTTTGTTGCATTTTACAAATTCTACTCCCCCAGAGTTCTTGGTCACACATTGACGACCATCAATTTTTATTTTAATTATGTTTTTGGATTTTATGATTTTCACCAAACACTAAACCTTTTGAGCTCATGATAAAGACTATAAGTTCTGAGTATATTTAGTGCTTAGCCTTTAGTTGCTTTGAATATACAATTTGTTTAGAATGAAAAACTGGTGGAAAGAAATTACGAAAGGAGGATAAGCTATCCTCAAAATATGTGCAGAAGAATAAAACCAGAAACAACTAAGCTGCCAAGTCTTGTTTAAAAACCTTTTTCCTAGCCATGACCTTTAGTTAATATCTGATCTCAGATTCTGACTCCCTGAATAAGTTTTTGCTCCTAGAGTAACTATGTGTTACTGGCCGAAGCACTTTTTAATTCTGGTCTACTTTCTGAATTCCCTTTTATTGACAATTTCTTTGCAATTAGATTGTCCATACTACATTCTAAGTAAATGTTAAAAGCAGGCCATTTTTTAACACATAATTGGATATATGCTGTATATTTTGTTCCAAGTTCCAACTATCAATTTGTTGAGCATGATCTTGTGGGATTAGATGCTCTACATGTACCTAATGATATGGAGGATTATGAACTTGAACAATGATGTACTTAGGGATTTAACTCCTTGTCTTAATTCATTACCCAAATCCCAAAGTGTGAACTGTGCTTGTTAATGCAGATGTGATTCTCATTTTTGAGACGTAATACAGAAATACTTACATTTGCCTAAGAAATAAATCAAATTTGCATTTTGTTCGGTGTTATCATTTGTATATTGTAGATGGTTATGATGTATATATATATATGCTATGCAGGGTGGAATCTTGGATTTTCCCGCCTGCGTCGTCTGCAATTGGCGTTGGCATACTTTAGATTTGAAGAGATGGACCTGTAAGATGTGATACATATTGCCTTCATATTATCTTCTGTGACTTTATTTGTGATATTAATGTTTTGTGACTTGTTTGTGATATTCATGTTTTGTGACTTTATTTGTGATATTAATGTTTTCCTCCATTTAATTTTTCTTTTCTCTGACTTGTTGACCCATCCTTCTATCATGTACATCTTCTGTCTTCAAATTTTCGTTCAGTTATTGGGCACACATATTAAGAGTGTTTATTAGAGGAGTGTAGGCTTCTTTGAGGTTGTGCTTATAGTTGAATTGAAAGCAGAAATTGGTGGTCCATGACACATGAGTTTGGGTGGGGAATTTTCTCCACGCAACAAATATATTACTGGTGGACAGTTCCAAATTGGACACAGGTTGATAACGAGGGAGTATGATATTATTTACAACGCCAAGAGAAGACTATCGCTGCTCACAATGCAACACTTGGCTCCTACTATGCAATAGTCTCTTAAATACTGTAGACATATATCCTTGATGGATAGAAGCATTGCCCTAAATATTAGCTGATTTATTTTCTTTCATGTAAGTCACGGCATTTCTTTTAGAACCGACTTCCATTTCTTCTGTAACTCAACCTTTCATCCTTCTTCTTTAAGCCTCAAGAAAGTATCTTCTTTTGATGCACTGAACTCATTAAAAAGTAGGCTATTTGTAAGAGCTAGAGAGAAAGAACCCTAAGGTAGAAGGAGAAGAGGTGATCAATGTATATTTCCTCACTTTAAGAAGCTACTCAGCTCCCTAGACTATACGCACTTCCTGAGCTAGTGAGCTAGAAAAGTGATTACTGATTACACTTTCTGTGAAGGATGGCTGCTTCTGTAAACCACATACTGGAAGTATCCTTTTGCTCCAGATTATGAACTCCTGATTAGTCTGTGCTCTTCTCCCTAAGGCGAATCGGAGTCTGTCCTTTGTGTTCAGATCCACTACATAACTTATAGTGTAATGAAGTCTTCAATGTTAATAAAAATAATGAAAAAAAATAAAAATGCAAGACTATAGGAGTTTATCTTTGACCGTTGTCCAAGTGAAAACTTTTCAAATCCCAAAGAGTTTTCTTGGGAAACCTAGATAGTGATCCCCGAGGAGAATGTTTCAAGAAACCTTAACTGAATTAACCTTGTGTCATTCCTCTAATACTTATCATTGCCTCTTTTGGGCTCAACCAATTGATACAATCCTTCTCCTAATCGTTGTGAAGTCTAGAGAGAGAAATGTCCCAATGCTTTTGATCCATCACCTCTTGTATAGTTGCATGTCTGTATTTTTAGAAGATGGCAAGAAGGAATTTTATAGTAATGCGGCTTAGGACTTCGAAGGCTTGATCCCTGCACCTAATTCTGTATGCCTAGTAAATACCCTAAAATTGCTCTTCAGTGTAAACCTCCAAAAAGCTGAAGCTTGACACATATGTTTTCTGATGATATGACTCTGAGGAAAATATAAGACGATAAACCCTTTCCTACTTATTCAAATAATTATAGCAAAGATTAACTGCATGGTTTTACAACTTTCAGAGATGTAAACTAAGTCCCTTATGACATTTTTATAAAGCTTCAAGCAACAGCATATTAAGACTTCATTTTCTTCTGCCTGGGATGTCTCAATCTGCCATTATGATGTCAGGGATGAAAGCCATTGGATTTTTTTTAAAATTTTTTATTGGTGGCATCTGATATGATTAGTTGGTTTGTCACAATTGGGAAGTGTTATCTGGTTTGTCTGTTCTGGTAGTAGCAAGGGAAAATCAAGAGAACGATTATGCTGCAATACTGCATATATTCTGACCAATATTGTCAAATACAGGATTTTCTGTTATCGTATATATTCTCTCTTGCTCACTGGTGGAAAATTATCTTCAGCCAATAAACTACTTAGTGGTTAAATTCAGTTTGCACCTGAAACTGTTGCAACATCTAGTGATACTTTGGGGCTGCAATGTGTGAGGGGGTGTTTGGTTTGCTTTAAGGTATGGGTTTGAATTTATTTAACCTCATATTGCTTGTTTGGTTCCTCTCCTGGGTTTTGCTATATGCATACCTGTGGTGCCCATCCTCACCCCCTAAAATACTGATTCTTAAACTGGGGTAGGGGGGTTGGGAGGTGGGTTTGAACTTTGAAGGTAATGTCTACAGTCTACCATAAGAATAGCCAATATATATGTATATTTATATACTGTATATCAGTATATGTATATAAAAGAAAATTCAGGTAGTGTACATCACTTCAGCCTCCACAGTCCACTCCATGTTCACCTCTGCCCCATCTCCGCCACCCATCCTAAACTACGCCATTGCAGTCACCACAACCTCCCCAAAAACAACTCCAATACTCATCATATGCCATCACGATTAGTACCAAAATCGCGCTACCACATCATCTCCTTCCTTCCCCAAAATCCCTTTGCTGTCTATCTTCACTTGTTACCCAAACAAGCTAACAATCACCATAGCTGAACAAAGTATAGCGTCTTCATACCTTTTCTATTAACTTCATCGATTTAAGCCCTATATTTCTTGTTTTTGGCCATTTAAGTAATAGATCTGGATCTTAAATGGGCAAAAAAATAAAGAAATATGTGGCTTTAAAACAAAGAATGTTGTGTTATATTTTTAGCTTTGCTTTCAGTTGCATCTTGGAAGACGGAAAATTGATTAAAAAAGCTGGGTGAGAATGATAGTATTAATAGAATATGGTGGCCAGTGGAGGAGGAGAATGCCTTTTCATTCAAGAAGCAATCTCTGATGGAGGGAAGCCATTGTTGTGGGTGAAGGGAGGTGGACGAAAGAGGAACTGATGAATAATCACCTTAATAAGAGGGGAGGAAGAGAGTAAGATAAAATTTTGAAGGATTTGAGACATTAATTTCTAACCCAAACACCTGGTTTAAAGTATCAAGTATGGTTTCATGGGTATCACTCATCCTAGATCAAACTACTGGTTTCTATAGTTGAACTTTTGAACCTAATGCCCCTTATGCCCTAACATCCTTCATCCTTGGATGGCTAAGAAAACTTGGTCAATGTATAACTGTCAATCTGAGGAATTTCTGTTCAGCAGGTAAAACTGTTAAGGTGAAAGAGCTGCTTCAAGTTCTGCTGGATGGTTTGGTTTGAGGTCGGGGAGGATGAAAAATATAAGTATGTTTTTGTACCTGCGGTGCGTTTCTGATTGTCAAGAGGTGCAGGAAATCAAGCTGATGTGCAGATTTAAGGTTTATCAGATTAAAGTAGCCTTTGCTATTATGCAGAATTGGATCAAGCACTCTGATGAAAGTATTAAAAAACTGTATAGCTTATGATTGGAGTTTGACAAGCTATAGGCTTTTTCAAATGTAATATATTACAATAAAACCTCAATATAGTGAGAATTGATAGTTGATAACTTGATATTGAATGTTGCCTGCATCAACACCCGACAATTGTTTTCTGTGTGACCAATTTATTGTCATAGTGGTCACGATCTTATCTGAGATTTAAAACCCTGCTGATAGCTTATATCTCTGTTGTACTGTCTGGGATTTGATGTTATAGCATTTATATTACCGAATATTTGAAAATCAGGATGTTTGGTTTATTTATCGTCTATGTTGGTGGTTTATTGGATGAACAGAGCCTTAGGAATGCTTGCAGAGGTTGATATAGCTGAAGAAGGGATTTTGTTATTGATCTTTGGTGCCATTTACATGATAGTTGACAGAATTGGAAACGATGCTGAGGTTTCTGCTGCACTAAGGTATATTAGTCAAGTTTGTAAAATTTGAAGGTTTATAGCTATTTGAAATACAGCATGTCATCTATAATTTGTTTATTGTGGTGTACCCAATATTTATTGCTGCCGTTTTGGCTTGTTCTTTGAGTGTTGCGTGTCTTTTGGTGCTTTTCATATATTTCATTGTTTGGCATATTTGTGCGTGAGTTAATTTGTCTTGTCACGAGTCTCATTTATATAGCTTCAAGGTTGATGCTTAGCTGTCTGTTGACTGTGACAAAAAAAAGATGGTGCTTTCATTCTCACAGCTTCAAGGTTCATGTACCTTTTATAATTTATTGATTGAAGGGCCAAGTGGGTGAACAAATTAGTTTCACTTATCACAAGTTTCATCCTCACACCTGTAATATTCTTCTAAACAAAGTTTTGGGGTATTGTCTTGCCACCTTTGTTATGTCACTGTCAGCGGATTCATATGATGCATCTTTGTGGAAAATTAAAATTAAAGGGGGTGGTATAATATAATGAGAACAAGGAGTCTAATTTTGGAGAAATATGATTAACTCTTACTTTACCAGTTTACCACTATATTAAGAAATTTGTGGTTTGGAAAGAGCTGTGCTAATATTCATTTTCTACCTGTTCTGCTTCATGTTCAATTATGGCTGCAGAATACTGGCATTAGGAGCTCGTTTCGCAATCCAGATGCTTCGTAAATTTGCCATTTTGGAACTTACGAATGAATGTTCACAACCTCTACTCATGTCTTCTAAAGATCATAGAAAATTCACAGATTCTAGAAGGCTACATGAGATGGCCTATTACCTGGAGATTATTCGTAATATCCAATGTCAACTTGCTGCAAAATTCACAAGGCTGGGGAAAGGATCGGTATGTTAATCTCTCCCCCCCCCCCCCCCCCCCCCCCAAGAAAAAAAACAAAGTATGCACGTCAATGTTTAACCTTGAAATAATATTTTATGTTTTCTACTGCTTGAAGTTACAGGTGGATACCTTGGAAGCACATCCTGAGGGCCCACAGAACTCACCCGAGGATCATTATCAGCTTTCTTCTGCTACTGATGATGTGATATTGGAGAAACCAAACAAACATGAACCTGCTTTACATGAAAGGGATGCAAGCTTTAACGAATCTGAGAAACTTTCATTAGTGCCTGTTGAACCACTGGGATCTAATCGTCTTGTGAATTCAGAAATGCCTGATGAAGAGTCCATTCTTGTGTCAGGGGCAATCCCAAGAACAAAACTTTTCCCCATGGAGAACCCTAAAGAAATGTTTGCACGTTGGGAGATGGACAATTTGGACTTAAGGAATGTTGTTAAAGATGCTTTATTGGCTGGCCGTCTTCCACTGGCAGTTCTTCAGCTCCATCTTCATCAAAGAAAAAAATTTGTTGATGACAAGAAGCCCAGCGATACATTTTCTGAAGTTCGTGATATTGGAAAGGCTATTGCATATGAATTACTCTTAAAGGTATTTGTTTTGTGGTTACATAGCTGGAAGACATAATTTTTTACTAATAACTAGCAAAATGATAGGGTGAGACTACATTGGCTGTTTCCACACTGCAAAAGCTTGGAGAAGACATAGAAGCTTGTCTGAAGCAGTTGATATTTGGTACAGTGAGCAGATCACTGCGGAAGCAAATTGCTGAAGAAGCGAAAAAAGATGGATTTCTCGGGTTAGATGAGCTGGCAATACTTGACAGAATATCATTGATTGAGGTAATTGTTTAAAGAGCTAGAGATACTTTAAGATTAAATAGTTGCTCATAATTTCTGTTGAGCTGACATGGATATCTGTTTATTGTGTGGCAGAGGATTTACCCATGCAATAACTTTTGGAAAACATATGCGTTCCGAAGAAAGGAAGGCAGTGAAGATTTACTGCCTACTAAAGCATCTGGAAATTATAGATTGCATCTCTTATTCCCCCCTGTTTTCAGAAATCTTGTTATTGAGTGTGGTGACATTGATGGAGTAGTTTTAGGTTCATGGGCAAATTTTAATGGTGTTGGCAGCACTGAGATTGACGACGACAGCAGCCATGCCGGGTATTGGGCTGCAGCTGCTGTATGGTCGTATGTTTGGGACCAAACAACTATTGATCGTGTAAGTTGTGTTAAAAGTAATCTCGGTCGAATGCTTATTACTTTGTGACTTGTGGTTTTTTTTTTTTTGGCAGAATTGATTTACTAGCCAACTGATATAAGGAATAAGGGTGCTTAAATAGTTTCTCTTTTTTTTTTTTTTTTTTTTTTTTTTTTTTTTTTTTTTTTTTTTTTGGGGTGGGGGGGTGGGGAAAGGGGTGAGATTTCAAACTTGATGTAATGTTTTTAGGTTTTTCAATTTGAGAGGACGGGAAATGATACTAGTTTCCATTTGAAATTCAGGTGGTAGGGTGATCTATCTTTATGTTCAACATAGAGTTTTGGATGCTTATACAGCTGATGATAATGTCCTTTTTTGTTTTAGTTCTTGCTTTGTCTGAACAAGCACCATTATGTAATTTGGCAACTTCAGCTCTTGTCTGCCTTGGGAAAAGCTGAACCTGTTGATTGCTGAGAAAAAATATTCACTTATTGCTCTCTTTTGTCCATCCATTGATTCAATACTCTGTTTATGATTCCTCATGATGTCTGAACTGTCAAGGAATATCGTATATCATGCTTTCTATGAGCACTGTTATCTAGATTAAAAGTTTTGCTTTCTGCAAAACTTTTTTCTCTCATATTTCTGTGATTGATCTATGTCGTGTTATTTCTCTACTGAAATGACGTAGTATTATTTATTTTGTGGACACTTGGATTGTCACTATCTTGTTACTTTTTGGCCTTAGTCCTTATTCAACGTCATCTCTGTAAGCTCATTTAGCTGTGGGCCTCTGGTTGATACATTGAATTGCCTGACCATGAGAATGAGTCAGAGATTAACATGTAATCGAGGTTGTGGTTTATGTTTTTTTGCTATTTTTATTTGATTTGTTGTCCCGTTGCTAGTTCGTGCTCAACATACATTATCGTGGTGCTTTATTTGTCAACAAAGGGAGTAAATATTACTGGTCCTACTTCTAAGCTTATTTTCACTTTAATTGTAAACTTGTGGAGATTAAATTGACACATGATGTGCCTAATTTAATGTTAGTAACATCTAATTACGTTTTGTTTTGTAGATTTTGCTGGATCAACCTTTTCTATTGGGTGTTCATGTGATGTGGGAATCACAGTTGGAATATCATGTATGCCATAATGATTGGGAGGAAGTATCTAAACTTTTGTACATGATTCCAAGCTCGTTACTAGCTGAACAAAGTCTCCTAATCAGTCTGGATAGTTTGCAGTCTTCTTCCTCATCTAGATACAGTATGGAATTCCCAGATTATGGCAGTTATGCATGCTCTCCTGACGAATTAGATGCAGTTTGTATCGACATTCCAAATGTTAGGATTTTTAATTCTTCAGCCACTGGAATGTGCTCATCATGGTTGAGAATTCTCATAAGTAAAGAGCTTGCCAAGAGATTCATTTTCCTAAAAGAATATTGGGATGGAGCAGGAGAAGTAATCTTTCTGCTGGCCCAATGTGGCTTTCTTGATGGAGAAAATGGGATGGCTGCTCAGAATGGATCCTTGGACCACTCAGCAATTTTGGATCCTGCAAATGTTGGAGTATTGCACCCAAATACTCTACAGGCCTTCCATAAACTTCTTGTGCATTATGCTGCACAAAATAACTTGCCATATTTCCTAGACCTTTATCTTGATCATCACAAGCTGGCCCTGGATGATGAGGCTATCAGTGCATTACTGGAAGCTACAGTAAGTTATAAGTTTTTATATTCTTGGACTCCTCCCTCCCCCCTCTCTGGATGTTCCTTATCAAATTTTTGACGGTGTCAAAATAATTTTGTTTGAATGTTTTCATATGTTAATAATTTTCATTATATATGGGTTTCTAGATGGGTTCTATGTTTTATCCTCTTTGTATGTAACCAACCTACCATAAAACTAAGGAAAAAAAACTGTACTTACCTACCATTGCATGTGTATCTTTTGCTCTAGAAACACATGAAGATCTTTAATATGGTTTATAAATACATGCACAACTAATGACAACAGCATCTGCAACATCGAACTAGTGCAAAGAAAGAGCTCAATTAATAAATAAACAGACGCTAAGGGAAAAGGAATCTATTGTACTGCAGGAGAAAAGAGGCTGAATAGAATAGATACGTGTGTAGATACTCAAATTAATTCACTAGTTAGGGTGAATGGGCTGTTTTATATAAGTAGGATTGATTATGATAGACAGTGATGGTGATAAAGAGAGTACATAGCTCATGAAAAAAAAATCAAATTTTTGCTACTTATGCACATATTATATACCTGCCAACTTTTTACTTCTTTTTATTTTGTCTCTAAAAAAATCCAGAATTACCTTTTGCTAGTAATTTGCGAGTCTGTAGATTTTTCCCTGTAGAGTCTCTGCCGTTGATGGGATCCATAATGGTTTGTCAATTTTGTAAATGTTGTTATAAATATGTACTAAATATGCTTCCTCACAGGGGGATCATCAATGGGCAAAATGGTTGCTCTTTTCAAGGATTAAGGGGCATGAATATGATGCATCGTTCTTTAATGCCCGTGCACTTCTAGTGCGTGATGTATCCTCTGACAGTAGCCTCCCTGTTTTGGAGGCAAATGAAATAATTTCTACTGTCGATGATATTGCTGAAGCTGGATGGTTAATGGCAGCTCTGGCCACATTAATGTTTGCTCCCTTGCCTATACAAAGCTGCCTGAGCAGTGGAAGTGTGAAGAGGAGCAGTAACTCCTTTCAGTGTACATTGGAAAATTTGAGGCCAGCCCTCCAAAAGTTCCCTACTCTATGGCGCACACTTGTGGCATCCTGTTTAGGACATGATACAACTCAGAGCTTCTGGGGTCTTAAAGGGAGGAATGGTAAACCTTTATTGTCTTTCCTTGTTTCTTGGTCACTCTTTGTTTAGTTTGTAGGCATTAATAACTATTTGAAAATTCAGCTCTATCAGCATATATCAAGTGGCGGGATAGTGTCTTTTATTCATCTGGACATGACACATCACTTCTGCTAATGCTGCCTTGCTGGTTTCCCACAAGTTTGCGGAGATTAATTCAACTTTTTGTTCAGGTTAGTGTCTGTCTCTTCTGCATATTTGGCTGATATCATATGGGGCTATCCCATACTTATAATTGGAGAAAGGGATTGGGTTTGTGCACAGTGTACCAAACTTTTAAAGAGAATCAAGGTCTTCAACTCTTCACCTCCCCTCTGTTTTTCTTGAAGTCCCTAACCAGGTTTCTTTGTGTATGTTCTGAGAGGTTTGGTCATACTTTCTTAAATATTCTCTCCTAGGTAGTAGGTATTCGTCACATTGATCATAAACCATATGGATGTTAAGTCTTTCTCAGGGTTTATAAAGCAGAAATTTTCTAGGCGTATCTCCTATACGGAGTTCCATCATAGTTGTGGTAACTTTATTTATTTATTTATTATTTTATTTAAGACCTTACACTGTAGAGTGTAAAAATATTTTTATTACCTTTTTTTTTTTTTTAATCTTCTTTGGTAATATCATTTCTCTCTTCATCAATACGATTCTTTATCTTTGTCAGAACAAACAAGTATTTTTTCCTATAAATACTTCCTCCGTTTCTATTTACTTGACTAACATTTCTTAAATGGAAATGTCATATTACTTGACCCATACTATATGTGGTAAGCTTTTGGTGGATAAATTCTCTAAAATACCCTCAAAAAGTGCACATGGGGGCAACTTTTAGGGGTAATAAGGTAAGTCATGTGCAACATGGACCACAAAACTACAATTTCTCTCTCCTCTTCTTAAATATTGTGCCCAATGCTATGGGTCAAGTAAATAGAAACGGAGGAAGTATTTGTTATGAAGCAAGGAAATTATGCTATTGATACCAGCAAAGTTTGAGAAATATAATTTCTCATCTATTACTTAAAGTTTCAGTTCTTGTAACTGTGCAAACAACATAGTGCACCTCTTCATTTTCTCTTGCAAATTGTTGCTTTATATATTATCTGCTGTTGTTGATATAGGGTCCACTGGGATGGCAGTCTATGACAAGTCTGACAGCTGAAGAAGCTTATCTGCAGCGTGATATAGAATTTCTTATGAATGTCCAGGAATACTCTGAGATTAGTGCAATGTCCTGGGAAGCAGCTATCCAGAAACAAATCGAACAAGAATTGTATCCTTCTTCAATAGAGGTTATCAACATTGTCTAATGTACCCCGTCTCAGTTTTTCATGCCTTAATCTATGTCATAATTTTATTGCTATTGTTTATGTCTAGTTTGTTCCTGGGTTTGTGGAAAGGAGTGAGTTTATGACTCACTTTGCCTACTTATTTACTTGCTCACAGGCTAGATAAATTAACTGATAAGTGATGTTAGAATTTTGATGTCATGAATTTTCTTGTCATTTGTCTATCTAAAATGGTTAAAGAAGAATATATTAACTCTTCATTCTCTTGTATGATGGCCATTTCTTATTTACATTCATTTAATGTAGGAAACTGGACTTGCTCTGGAGCAGCACTTGCATCGTGGACGTGCACTGGCTGCCTTTAACCAACTTCTTGGTTCTAGGGTCCATCAGCTTAAATCTGGTGTCGTTGATAGAGGACAATCAAATACATCGCTTCGTGGGCAAGCAAATGTCCAGTCAGATGTGCAAACACTGCTTTCCCCACTGACACAAGACGAAGAATCTTTTCTTTCCTCGGTATAGTCAACCTTCTTTTCATTCTGGATCAGTACTTGTAAAAATGTAGTGAACCAAAAACTAGCAGTTATGTTGTTTATGACTAGCATGCCACAACCTCTTTGGATTCATTTAATCATGAAATATGTAGTTTTGTCTAGCATGCAGAAGCTAATTATATGTAGGCAATGTAGCTCATCTGGGAAATTGGAAAATGTGCAAAAGGAGAAATATTGAGCATAAAATTGCTGCTTTTATTCTTCTATGCTCACCTGTCTTCCCCATAACTCCGTATAAAGTGTGTCTAGGATGACCTACTTATGGAGATAGTGATAGTGATAGTTTTATGTCGAAACTTGAATGCGATGACCTATGACCATCTATCTGTTATTTTATTCTTGAATGTAATGATTTTTTTTTTGTTTTTTATGTGCTCTCCATGCTTCAGGTTGTGCCCCTGGCTATAACCCATTTTCAAGATCATGTGCTGGTTTCTTCGTGTGCTTTACTGCTGGAGATTTGTGGTTTATCTGCTAGTGTGCTTCGTGTTGATGTTGCTGCGTTGAGACGAATACATTCCTTTTACAGATCCAATCAAATTATGCAACAGAACCAACTCTTGTCCAACAATGCTACACTACATGCTGCTTCTAGCGAAGCAACTGTTGCAGATTCTGTTGCTCAAGCTCTGGCAGATTATTACCTTCACCAGAGTGGAAATATAAATAAACAGGAGGATGCTCAGAAGCCTGCTACAAATCATCTGCCTCCAACTCTATTGCTTGTGCTTCAGCATCTGGAGAAGGCTAGCCTTCTATCATATGCTGGTGAGAAAACATGTGGCTCTTGGCTGTTGAGTGGCGAAGGTGATGGAAATGAATTAAGATCTCAACAAAAGGCTGCAAGTCAGCACTGGAATTTAGTTACTCTATTTTGCCAGATGCATCGGATTCCTTTGAGCACTGTGTACCTTGCTTTCTTAGCAAGAGACAATGACTGGGTATGTGTGCTGTAGTTGCTTGTTAATAGAAAAATAGAGGTTGAAAAGATGTAGAGTTATCTCAGAATGGGAAGCAAGGAGCAAGGTGCTTTTTCTGTAATGATTGCTAAATTTTGTTATTGTTTAATTAGGTTGGATTTCTCTCAGAGGCGCAGGTTGGTGGATATCCATTTGATTTGGTGATTCAAGTGGTAAGGGATATTTACCTTTCTTGCTTAATTGGATCAGATTTCTCTCTCTTTTTTATAATGATATCTCAAGTCAGAAAATTTTAATGTCTGATTTTTTTCTTCTTTAATATGTTCCATTATATTTATTATTTATTTTTGTCATTTTAGGCTGCTAAAGAGTTTACTGATCCACGTCTTAGGACTCACATATTGACAGTCTTGAGAGGCATGCAGTGGAGGAGGAAGAATGCCTCGCCTTCTAATTCAGATTCTCCAAAAGGAAGGAATGAATCTTCCCATCCAGATCAAACTTTGTTTATATCAGCTGAACTTTTTCAAATATTAGCTCAATGTGAAAAACAAAAGGAATCAGGAAAGTCACTTCTTTTGAAGGCAAAGGAGTTGAGCTGGTCTTTGTTGGCTGTGGTTGCTTCATGTTTTCCTGATGTTGCTCCACTATCTTGCTTAACAGTCTGGCTGGAAATTACAGCTGCAAGGTAATTATTGACTCTTTGTTTGTGCAATAATGCATTATGTTGTGATGATCCTCTTTGTTATTGTTGTTATTGTGTTTGGTTGTTTATGTGAAAATATTTTAATAATTTCATGTTAGAAAATTGAAAAAATTGTATGTGCACATTAATTATGTTTTTGACTGGTGATATAGTTGTTGGAGCATCAAATCTTTGAATGCTAGTGCTTGTCGGTGTTACATTATTATTTACAATGCTTTGTTGGGAGCAATTATAATAAGTTTTATCATCTTTATGTCTCAGAATATGAATTTTCAATATGATACTATAGGTCTCAGATCTCTTAGAACATGTTTATCTACAAACATGTTTAGTTGTTTACTGATTTTTGACTGCATGTAAGATTGATTTTTGAAGGAGAAGTTTTCTTTTTATGCTAAAACTTTTTTTTTTTTTTTTTTTTTTTTTTTTTAACTAGAGAAGATACTAAGATGTACATTACGTTCACCTCAGGAGAAAAAAAAAAAAAAAAAAAAAAACTCAGCTTTTTTCTGACTAAGCATCTCAGTAAAGACTATTATCATTTGCAAAGATTTTACTTCTAGACTTATAATTGCTCTTTTTATGTTTGAATTACAGGGAGATATGCTCAAGTAGAGAAAATGAAATTGCCACTCAGATAGCAAATAATGTTGGAGCTGCTGTAGAGACTTTGAACTCCCTGCCAGCTGGTGATAGAGTTTCTACTGTCCATTATAATCGGAAAAGTCCAAGGCGTCGACGTCTCATGAATGACATTTCTGAGGACTTTTCTTCTGCCACTGCGAGTTGCACCTCAAATGATCATGCAAAAATACTTGTTGAAGAGTTGAAGGAATTAGGAACCAAGGATGATGTCAAATTGGTGAAGAGTTCTGATGACTGGTCTACATCTCTGCCTAAACTGGTTGCTGTTCTTTGTCAGCGAAATCAGTTTTTTCCTTTGCTGAGAGCATTTGAGATGTTTCTTCCTTCATGTCCTTTGTTACCATTCATTCGTGCTCTTCAGGTTTGTTTATAAAGTTTTGCTTGAAAACTTTGTAACATTTTTGCCTTCATAACTTTTATCTTGCTAGTGATCTGATATCATGTAATTTATGCTTTTGAAGAAAATTTTCACTACAAAATTTTTTTGGAGGTTGCTGTGCTTTTTCTCTGCTGTTTATGCCTCAGCTTTATATCATACCTAGTCTTGTATTGTATTGTATTTTAAGGTGGAAATTAGAATTATGTTGATGTATTGTGCTATCTTTAGTTTTTATTGGAGAACGTACTCGACTCCTGAATGTCTCTTGTTGTACTGGTTATCCTTAGAAGCCTAAGCAAGTGAAATAGAAGTTGAATGCTGGATGTACCTTCTGTTAAGTGCTAGAGATAGATAGCCATTAACCCCATCGTTATATGCCAGAAGTTTTTTGTATCATTTGATGCATAGTTCATATTTTTATGTGAAATCTTACTTCCAATTGCTCGACCTTGCCTTGTTGCAATATCTAATTAACTGCTTTGTTAGAAGGTTTCTAATAAATATGACACCTGAAATAGTTACTGGATGATCTTCGCCATTATAACTTTCTTGTTAGAAAGAGACAATGTGACTGGTTTATACATTGTACTTAATGTGCTCTAGTTCTATTTTTGTAAATTCTTGTGTTTGGCGAATGGAGTATGCCTTTTGCATTTCAGAATAGTAAAAAGACACTTTTTATATTTATGTTGATGGAGGGGCTAGAAAGAGGAAGGTAAGGCATGGCGTAGAAACTGTGCCACTCTTTTCTTCAATTATCAACCCTGAAAGCCTAGATACTGCTCTATTGCTTCCCAACCAAATACTGCTCTATTGCTTGATGAGGATAGTGTTGGTGATTCTTTGAGCTTCACATTTAGGCCAAATCATCTGATATATGCTTGTAACATTTTAATATTGCATTCCATACAGGCATTTTCTCAGATGCGTCTATCTGAAGCTTCAGTTCATTTGGGGGTGTTTTCATCCAGTAAGGAGGAGGCATCATGGATAAGCTCGACTGCTGTGAAAGCTGCTGATGCTATTCTTTCAACATGCCCATCACCTTATGAAAAAAGATGCTTACTACAGCTTCTCGCTTCTTCTGATTTTGCTGATGGAGGATCTGCTGCTGCATATTATCAACGTCTATACTGGAAAATTAATTTAGCAGAGCCTGCGCTTAGGAAGCATGAGGATCTTCAATTAGGAAATGAGACTTTGGATGATGCTTCTCTCTTAACAGCACTTGAAAATAATGGTTACTGGGAACAAGCCCGCAGTTGGGCACGTCAATTGGAGGCCAGTGGCACGCCATGGAAGTCTGCTGCTCACCATGTTACTGAAAGACAGGCAAGGCTTCTCTCATTTTAGCTATTGCAGATTCCTTAATTTTATCACATCTGTGGTTATAATTGGCTTCTGTGCTTCCCCTTGATTATAGGATGCTGCAGCATGCATAAATTTTTGTATGGTTGCATAAATTTTTACACATCAAATATATATAATAAAGTGCTCTAGAATCTAGCTCTTGTGAACTAAGAAATACGAGGCAGGAAGCAGCATTTAGTGAATTATCCAATAAGCTTAGAATCTAGTTATGCTAATTTTGGATGTGTTTTATCACACTCCATTCCTTTGAAAATGGTATAATATTATTGGGGGAGCTGTACAATTCAACCTACTGAGCACAATTTTTAATTTCATTGTTTTTTTTGTTGTATTTTAGTTGAATAAATGGCTATGGTTACATCTTCTGATCTTAGCACAATTAATTAGATTCGTTGTTTTTATCAGATTTTAGTTTATTGACTGGCTATGGCTACTTCTAATCTTTGTCAACTCTCAAACTGTCACCACCTGATGAAAGTTTGGGACTATAATGTGTAGTTGGTGATTGAAATGCATCACACTTTTTTGGAGAATACATCATGATTGGGTGTGATATCTTGGAGCTTATTTGTATATATATACTTTTTTTTTTAGAGGATATCTATCATTTACTGGTGTTAAGGATCAATAAATGGAAAGTAATAGTGAATAATATCATTTGTAAGTAGTTAAGCACAACCAATTGAACATATAGAATAGTGTGTGGTAAGACTAAAATTCGTTAGGAGTCTAGATCCTTTTCATTTTTGAAGTAGTACCTCGTTGCTGGATGCCCCTATAGTCCAAATTAGGATAACCCAGGTGAGAATCATGAACTGCATCTGATAGGGAGAAAAAGTTGCTTAAAGTCCAATCTGTCCATAGCTAATGAGATTTAGAAAAAGGGCTGGGTGTTAATATATGGCTGGCTAAAGCTTGATTATTTTGTGTGTTTTGAGATCTTGGAGGAGTGTCTTAAAACTCTGAACAGTGGGGTGATTTGCACCCATGGCGGACATAGAATCTGACAGGGTAGGTCTCGGATAGTGGTTAGTGGTCATGCTTTAAAAAATCTTTTTGCTACCAAAGAATTATACTGAGAGGAAAGGGGGTTATAGTTTAAAGTACTCAAACTCATCTTCAATTCTTTTTAAGGATCTTATCAAAGATCTATACTTTAAGCTTGACAATACCCTTTGAGCCCATTGACTAAACACATGGATTAGAAAGGTCTATGACTGATTCGTTGCAAATTGTTATGACAAAAATTTCCTTGTACTTTGAACCAGAATATGTGGACAGTGCTATACTGAAAGCTAATGAAGGGCATTGTAAATGAAATGGTGAGAAGATGTATTTCACAGTTGATGTTTAGGAACATATTACAGAAGAAGTAAATTCAACTGCCTATATGATTTCAGTTTCATTGAAGTGGCATCCCCATCTGGTTTATTTATATATTGACATCTTTAGTAGGTTTCTGCACTACTTGTGCTACTGATACATTTCTTAAAAGCTGATATTTTTTTTAATTGTTTCAATATTTTATATAAAGGACGATGTCAAATATATTCTAATCTTATTTAAAGTATATACCCCTTCTTTATTGAAGGAAATCCATTGTGTGGTATTATAATCAGGATCCATAGTGTGTATATATTCTCCCTTTATCTTTATAATGGCTGATACTTTTGATTTTCCATGTAGGCGGAGTCTATGGTTGCTGAATGGAAGGAATTTCTTTGGGATGTACCCGAAGAGAGAGTTGCTTTATGGCGTCATTGTCAAAATCTGTTCATAAGATATTCATTTCCTGCTCTAAAGGTAGATTTATGCCTGCTATCCTTATGAATTTGACATCTTAAACTTGGAAAGAGATTAGCTTATTTGCCTTTACCCATGCAGGCAGGATTGTTCTTTCTCAAACATGCAGAGATGGTGGAGAAAGAACTTCCATCAAGAGAGCTACATGCATTGTTACTTCTTTCTCTACAATGGTTAAGCGGAATAATTACGCAGTCTAACCCGTAAGTTTCACTCAACTGTCTGCACTGCTGATATCTTTTTTTAATCCATTTTTTCTAACTTACCTTCTCTATCTATCAGTGTATGTCCTCTTCATCTCTTGCGGGAAATTGAAACCAGAATTTGGCTGCTAGCTGTAGAATCTGAAGCTCATATAAAGGGTGAGCAGGTTTCCAATTTTACCAGATCTAGTCAAGATCAGATGTCAGGAAATAGTGCCAACATCGTGGACCAAACTGCAGATGTTGTCATGAAAATGGATAGCCACATAAATTCAGTGAAAAATAGAGCTTCTGAGAAAGGAGATATCAAAGAAAATAATAATTTGCGTCACAAGAGCTCACTAACCTGGGATGCTGGCATATCAGCTGCAACTGGGAGCACAAAGATTAAACGGAGGACTAAACCATATGGTTCCTCTAGACAGTCCATGACTGAAATTGACAGGAGTGCTGATGTTGATTCTGATGCTGATGGGAGTTCTCTCCCTCCTTTGAACCATATATATGACTTACAAGATGAAAATCTGAGAATCGATGCATCATTTTCAAGTTGGGAAGAAAGAATTGGACCAGCAGAACTTGAAAGGGCTGTCCTTTCATTATTGGAATTTGGACAAATAACTGCTGCCAAGCAACTGCAACATAAGCTTTCATCTGGCCATGTGCCTTTTCAGTTGAAAATTGTAGATGCTGCCCTAAAATTTGCAGAACTGTCAACACCACTGCAGAAGCATTCCTTGTTAATGCTGGATGAGGATTTACGTTCTCTTATCCAGTCATATAACCTGCCAACTGAAGATCATCTCTTTGATCCACTCCAGGTTTTTATAATTCTGATTACCCTTTTAGCTTGCCCAGAAAATTTTGTTTTTTATGCATGGAAGCTTTTTTGGTCTCCTCCCATTTATTCTTAGGGCATATTCAATGTTATTTTGGGGGTTTATAATTCATAGCTCCATACATCTGAAAAATGATTTTGCTCTTTTTTTGGAGTGATAGGTGCTAGAGAGTTTATCTGACATATTGACTGAAGGTAGTGGACGTGGACTTTGCAAGAGAATCTCTGCTGTTTTGAAGGCTGCTAATGTCTTGGGTGTTTCATTTGCGGAAGCCTTTGAGAAGCAGCCAACTGATTTGTTACAGTTGCTTTCTCTTAAAGCACAAGATTCTTTTGACGAAGCAAGACTTCTGGTACAGTCTCATCCTATACCAGCTACGAGTATTGCAAAAATTTTGGCAGAATCCTTCTTGAAGGTATATGTTGTTATTTCTTGCATCATTGGTATGTATATATATGTATGTATATTTCTCTTTTGTCATTAGAGCATGTTTAGCCACCAATCAATATTATGGTACTTTATATATATAATTTTTTTTTTTTTTTTTTTTTCATTTGGCTAATGTTTGAGTAGCTTGTTTTATATGCTTTCAGGTAGGATTTTTTATTTTTTTTTTTAAATGAAGAAAACAGGTGTTAGCTAAATAAACCATATACTTCTTGACTTCTTTTATCCCAAAATAGAATACACGTGTACACTTGATTTTGTGGTAAAAATTTGCTTATTTTGACCATTGGTGTTGAGATGTTGATCACATTTCCTATATGTTAAATGTTAAAAAAAACTAGTCAATATATTTATTTCAGATTTAATGAAATTAGCCAGCTTTGAATCCAAATTTCAAATGTGGTCTACCATTTCGAGACTGGAGATAACAATGTCCAATACTGTTTCTTATATTTGTCTTAGGGTTTATTAGCAGCGCATCGTGGCGGATACATTGATTCTCAAAAGGAGGAAGGGCCTGCTCCTTTGTTGTGGAGGTTTTCAGACTTTTTGAAGTGGGCTGATTTGTGTCCCTCAGAACAAGAGATAGGGCATGCATTAATGCGATTAGTTATTACGGGTCAAGAAATTCCACATGCCTGTGAGGTAAGGTGTGGTGTTGTCTGTTTGGTCTGTTGTATGCTTTTCTTTTTGGAAAAGTTATACTTATGAGTTTTTATAAGGTACCGTCAAAACTTGGTATCATTACTGATTTAAAATGTGGGGTTTATATAAGGGTGGAATATTGAATAATTTGTCTCTATTTTGCCTAGTGTTTGAGACTAAGGTATTGAGAATATCAAGTCTCAGTTCAAATCATTACTGATTTAAAATGCAGGATTTGTTTAAGATGGGTGGAATATAATGTATATGCTGAGATGGGTGAAATTTTGAATAGTTATAACTTAAATATTATGCTATCCTTTTTAATGTACATCAAAGGGAGAAAATATTATATGTATCATTTTCAGTTCACTTCAAATAAAATGACGATATCATTGTATTTATCACATTCTCTGTATTATTGAAAAGGAAACTGAAATGTCATTAAAATACGTGTTCCTGTTTTATATATTGTTAGAAAGATCAATTTTCACTCCCCTCATATGCTACAGGCCTACCGCCTACAGCTTGATTTTAGTTTGCAGTACTAAATGTGCCCCCTCAATGTGTTTGGTCTTGATTCCTGTAATCCTATCTCATAATGTTTCTTTTTGCCTATGATAATATATCGTGTCTGCTAAAGCTTTTTCTTTGTAAATGATGTTTTAGGTTGAACTTCTTATTCTGTCGCACCACTTCTACCAGTCATCAGCTTGTCTTGACGGGGTCGATGTTCTTGTAGCCCTTGCGGCAACAAGGGTTGAGGCTTATGTTTCTGAGGGTGACTTTTCTTGCTTGGCTCGTCTTATTACTGGAGTAGGAAACTTCCATGGACTGAATTTTATACTTGGCATTCTTATTGAAAATAAACAACTGGATCTTCTTCTTCAAAAGTATTCTGCAGCTGCTGATGCAAACAGTGCTGTTGCTGAATCTGTCCGAGGATTTCGTATGGCTGTTGTTACAGCACTAAAGCATTTTAACCCCAACGATCATGATGATTTAGCCATGGTTTGTTTTTTCCCCTCTTGTTTACAATTCCTTCAATGGATAACTGTTATTCCTGCTGCTAACTGTTTCTGTTTGTGATAATTTTTATGTCGTGATTTTGTGGTAGGTTTATAAACACTTTGACTTGAAGCACGAAACAGCTTCTTTACTTGAGTCACGAGCTGAACAGTCTTATCAGCGGTGGATCCTGCGCCCTGACAAGGACCACAATGAAGATCTCCTTGAATCAATGCACTTTTACATTGAAGCTGCAGAGGTTCACTCCTCTATTGATGCTGGCAATAAAACGCGTTCTGCTTGTGCCCAGGCTTCCCTCGTATCCCTTCAAATTCGTATGCCTGATATCCAGTGGTTGAATCTGTCTGAGACCAGTGCTCGTAGGTTACTGGTTGAGCAGACACGTTTCCAGGAAGCATTGATTGTGGCTGAAGCTTATAAAATAAATCAACCTAGTGAATGGACACCGGTGTTGTGGACCCAGATGCTTAAACCAGAAGTTGTAGAGCAATTTGTGGCTGAATTTGTGGCTGTGCTTCCTCTCCAGAATTCTGTGCTCATTGAATTGGCTAAATTTTACAGGGCGGAGATGGTAGCAAGGGTAGACCAGTCCCATTTTTCAGTCTGGCTCACAGGAGGAGGTTTACCAGCAGAATGGGCCAAGTATTTGGGGAGGTCATTTCGCTGTTTGCTGAAAAGAACAAGAGATTTGAGGTTCCGTTTGCAGATGGCTTCCATTGCAACTGGGTTTATCGATGTGGTTGATGCATGTAACAAGACATTGGACAAGGTTCCTGAAAATGCTGGACCACTTGTGCTTAGAAAAGGGCACGGTGGGGCATATCTCCCATTGATGTAGAAGGGATAATGAAGGAGATAGTGAATTTTAATGCAGAAGAAAAGTTGGTAATAATGTGATTGTATTGATGCAATAAGCTTGCTTAACGTTTCCGAAATCCCTGGTTATCTGTGCTGCAGAAAGGAGTGAATTCTGTTAGTATATGGAAACAAATGAAGGTGGACATGGCAAGGATTGTGAAAATTTTGTAGATTATGTGCGATGTTGGTTTGCTGTCTTCTAGAGTCCATATGGTTTGAAATCCCAGTTAATTGGCACAGAAGAAATCTGTCCCTAGACATTAGGCAACTTAGTAGTATACAACTTGAGTGTAGAATTCTAGATTCAGGTAAAAAGCTTGTGGATTTTTTAGGCAAGCATTGGGTGGAGGCCTGTGTTCATCATCTGGAATGAATTTTTGTGAGGTATGCTTCATCATTTGGAATGAATTTTTGTGAGGTATGCTGAGTCTCAAATTTTGTAGGACAAAGGTATATCATTCTTTCGAAAGGAAATGTAAATTCTGTAAATATCAGTTCTCAAACAAGAGGACAATTGAGTTATCCAGTGCAGTTCACATTTACCGAATCAAGAAGTGATTTAATTCAGAGATATGAAATGTCTGGTTTCAGTTTCTCATTGCTACAAATTTTCTTTGGCTTTGAGGAGCCCGATCTGAATAGACTCTATACTTTTACGCATAATATTCACGGCCATTTTTTAGAAAAGTATTCTGTGCTATCAATTGAAAATTTGAGATAACATACACAGATAAGTTCTTGTTCAAAAAAAGAAAATGCTACAAGAGTTGCTAATAGTCTAGCAGTTGATTAGTTTGAAAATATATTTAATGAGTAACTAGTTTTTAGGCCTCGGGCGATGTCCCGAGTTACTACAATAATTTCATGGTTAATATCCTTAATTATAATTAATTTTAATAAAATAACATATAATATAGTATAGCTTAGTGGCTAGCAATATAATTTTGAAACTTGAGGTCTTGAGTACAAACCTTATCCAATTCATAAAGGTGTCACGTGACACCTAAACTTATTTAGAAACGCCTTTTAATATTTGAAAAGTAGACGTCGAGATGAATCTAGCTCATTATTATATTTTTCCTTATGGATAGATCACTAAACAAGGTCAAAAGAGGTGTGAATAAGAGTATTTTCTGCTCATTTATTATTATTTTTTTGCTCATTATAAAATCTTAAAATGCCTAAAAAAAATTATCAAATGAGCACAAAATTGATAATTTGGTTCACGTACATCTACATCTATATTCACCTAGATGTATATAAAAGGTGTTATTCATTTACATGAATCACACATTTAAATTTTTGTTAATTTCTTTTTTACAAAAATCTTTGTTAATCAATCTTACAAATAAAAAAAAAAAAAAAACTTTGTTAATCAATTAATTATTTCACTAATTAAACGATGGCATTAGAGACAAATGACATGAATTACCGAAATTACCCCAACCGTACTACATAAAATACCCCATTATACCCTTTAATATGTGCGTCCACCCAATAATTTTGTAAGAATTTTTTTATTTATCCCTTCAATGGCCACTAAGCTTATGCAACCACCAATAATCCCAACTTCACATTCATTTCCACAATTATCCCAAATCAAAATCCCACTTACTTCATCATTCTCACTTCCAAATTCAAAATTCAACTGTACAAAATTTAAGCATTATTTATCTTCTGGGTTTACACTTAGAGTTGATTGTACTACTGAAGAACACAGCTCAGATTTGCTTCTCAATAATGAAGACACTAATTTTCTTACTAAATCAAGTATTTATAGCTCTATTGAAGGTACATTTTCTTGAAGTATTCACCCTTTTTTTTTTTTTTTTTTTTTTTTTTTTATTCTATATAGAATCATTTTTATAAAAAATAAAATATGGGTTTTATAAGTGGGTTTTGATTTGCTAGATAACAAAAGTCAATCTTGGCAAATGGGTATTATTGTTTCTGAGTAATGTATGTATTTTGATGTATAAGAAGGCGTAAAGGGCAGTGATGTAGACGAGATTCGATAATAGGTGCCACATCCCAAGTGTTTTAACTTATTGAGCTTATTATTGACAATATATTGTGCATGTGTGTATAGGTAACAATAGAGGTATTTTTGGGGTTACATCTGACAAGAAGAGAGAAATTGAGGATTTGGTGATGGAACTTGAAGCTAATAATCCAACACCCAATCCAACACACACTTTAGATAAGGTAGAGCAAAGTTTTTGGGTATAATTTTCATATATTTGACTTTTTTTTATGCTCAATTGATCATTATTAATACTTGTATTTTTTTAATTAATCTTTGTTTTTGTTTCTGTAATTGGAAAGGTTAGTGGATGCTGGAAGCTTATCTATAGTACAATTACTATATTGGGTTCAAAAAGAACTAAGCTTGGACTCAGAGATTTTATCAATTTGGGGGATTTTTTACAGATCATTGATATTGCTGAGGTATGGCTACTTTCTTATTTTAGAAACCTTAATCAATTATTACAGACTTATTTTTTCATTCAAATATCAAGTAATTTATCATGTTTTAGGCATGAATTAATTGTTGATGTTGAAAAATTTTAGGAGAAAAAACTTTCAAAGAATGGGGATAACTGATTTTAGCCTTCAGAAAACTGTAAAATATGTCACATAATCTAATTTAAGCAGGGTTTCAGGGATTAGTTAACCTCTTGATCTTACTGTCTTTCCTATTTCTGAGGTTTTTTGGGATGAGATGTGATATGAAAGCAACCTATACCTATTTCGAGGGATTGGAATGCTTGCACTTGATCACAAACAACCCCGCTACACGAATGTCTCATTGACTTGGATTGTTGGTTGTGCTTTGCTTAGCTGGGGTTAGTTTATCTTGCATATCATGGATTGCAGTATTGCACAATAATAGTTGTAATGGTTTAAATTTTGGAAGCAAGAATCGAAAACGACAAGTTTTTGAGTAATCTGTAATTGAAGATTGTGGATAATCTGGGAGTGTTGTCTGAATTTTGGCATAAACTAGTTCAGTGCTAACTAGAGGTCTTATAACTTATAGGATTTCTCCTTTTTTGTTGAATAAATACTGTATTTGCATATGAAACATTCATAAAGCTATTGATTTTGTGTTGATGCCAAAATAATGGAGGGCAAAGCAGTTAACATAATCAAGTTCAGTGCAAGAGGACTGATTCTGCTAAATGGTCAGTTGACAGTTCAGGCCTCTTTCAGTGTTGTCTCACCATCGGTAAGCCTACAAATCTCCTTGAACTCTCAGATAAATTTTCTAATCTGTCTGAAGTGACTATTATAATTTGGTGTGTATGAATATATTGAGCTTCTTTTTGTTATGTACAGAGAGTAAGTATCAAGTATGACAATTCACAGATCACCCCAGAAAAGGTATGTACTTCGTCTACTGCTCTATAGTTGTACAAATTTTAGATAGTGATAAACTAACTGAATTATGATTATTTTTTTTCCCACCTAATATACATAAACTCAAGCTGATGAATTTGTTCAAGAAAAATTATGATCTTTTACTCGGTATATTCAATCCAGAAGGTTGGCTGGAGATCACGTATCCTTTGTTGATTTATCTGCTTAAATGACACTATCCAATATCTGATATTTTGGCACGTATGGTGAATGTTAAAAGAGAACTGTTGATCCTTGATACAGATGATACAGATATTTAGATGACACGATGCGGATAGGAAGAGATAATAAAGGCAACATCTTCATACTAGAAAGAACAACAGATAGTTGATCAGTTCTACTTTGATGTTTTGATCATGGCCTTGAGATCATGTGCTTAAAGAGTTTACAAGGGGTAATCTAAAGTATGGAAGTGAGAATTTTCAAGTGTGCAGGGCTAGCATTCACTTCTTGTACATGTATTATTTTGACTTTTACAAATACAATGCTTTGTAGATATCATTCCATTGTCCACGGATTATGTTAACAAGTCTAAGAATTGATTTGCAAACTTTTTTTTTTGGTGAGAAGAATTGATTTGCAAACATTTCATCAAAGACAAATAAAAAGATACAATCACTTGATTACATATTGTCTCTGTACCATACTAATTGTCATTTAAGTTTATGCATGAGAAATTGAGAATTACAAGTGTATAGTGCAACTGTGCAAAAATATACAAGTACAAAGTATAAATTTGCTTACAAAAGAAAAGATATATACTTTAAGGGTAATACTCCATATTGTATATGTATTTTAGATGAGTAAAAAAATTGTTGAGAAAAAGACTAGTAATATAAAATGAAAATAGGTAATTAAGTGGGTAAATAATATGGAAATGTAACGAAGATGATTAATTAAAAAGATAAATTGTTCCATTTGCTAGAGGACATGCATCATACATTAATGCATGATACACATGTGATTATTCATTTCAATAATGAGAAATTATTCATCAACGTTTCTCTTCCTTATAACCAAATTGATCTCCAAAATCCTGATCTCCAAAAACCTTCCTATCAAGACAACAATCGTGTCTAGAATTATGAGATGATTACGCCTAGAGCTAAAAAAAAAAAATGACCCGATCATACTTAAATCTACCAAACTTACTCGAAAAAAGATTTTTTTTTTTTTTTTTTTTTTTTCACATTCGATCCATGTGGATACACTCAACCACATACACCAATATCTAATCCGACGCAAACCAATTAGAACCGATCTGAAATTGACCATAAACCCGTTTTGACAGCTCTGAATTAAATGTGAGGGAGGATGTCCAAATCATAAATGGGTAGAATCTATTCGAAATGAATCTACACAAAAGATGATTGGGCTGATCCATATAATATAGTGGGCTTTAGCGTAGGGATTACGCATAATTATCCACATTACAAGAAAAAGCTTAAGCATTTATAATTGATCTCTGAAACAAAAAAGAAAATAAAAGTTGAATTAAGCAGCAGCGAAGAGAGAGAAAATGGGGGTGACAAAGGAGGAAGTAGAGTCTGCACTCACGTCTAAGCTCAGCCCTGTTCATCTCGTAGTTTCCCTAACCTTTTATATTATTTTTTCAATTCTTACTATGTTATTCTTAATTATCTTGCATGAATTAATTTTATTTTTGTTGCCATGGAAAATTTCTTCTTGTTTGATTAGTTTTTAATCAAACTTTTATGAAATATTACTGGCAAAAGAGTAAAGTTTCTGGGCATATGTTGATTTTTTTCGTTGACAATTATATTATTATGGGTGCATTAGATTTCCCGAGTTTCATAATGTATGGAAAAAAAAAAAATATATACAATTTGATGAATTTTAGCTATTTGTAGCAGTTTTTATTTTTGGCCTTGTTGGTTTCTTTTGTTTGAGCACTAGATTTCCTGAGTATCATAATATATAAAAAATTATGTGATTTGATGAATGATGGCAATTTGAATTGATGGTAATTGACTAATTGGTATGTCATGAAGTAGTAACAGATTCTTTGTTCCTTTGACTTTGTTTAGACTTATAAATGTTCTATTGCAAATAAATTGTGTTGTTAAGGTATTAATTTACACAAACTTATGCCATTTGGTTTCTGTGATTAAAAATCTTTAAACTAGGCTACTCAAAATTAAGGAAATCGATTTGGTATACCGAGGAAAGTGGGTTGAGATGGTTGGACTGATAATAGTTTTTTTTAAGGGGGTTTCTGTATTACTATCCTAATAGGGATATTTTAGCAGTACTGTCTTTTGGTGGTGTATTAGACAGTAAGGTGTGGAGATGGGTACTCTTACTTTGGTAGAAGTTTGAATTGAGGGTCCAAAAAATGCAATTGCAATAGGTGAAGAATAAATTGCTAGTCTCGAATCATGCCTTCTATTTTTTTTTTTTTTTTTTTTTTGGTGATAAGTATCGAGTTTGATCTGAAATGTGATTTTGGACTTCTTTTGTTCCTTTTTGGTATTGCTTATTGTATTGAAAAATTGTACCCGAAAGATTCAATGAGTTGTGCATCATTTCTTCTTCAAAGGTTGTCTCTTGTCAAAATGTCAAACCTATCCAATCCTGTTGAGCTGTTATCTGGTTCACTTAGGACATCTGTAAGAAATTCTATTGTTTATGGTGATTATCATTTATGCTGAAGATGTATGTTTTGTGGATAATTATGTATTCATGTTGCTGGAATTTTTTGGGATAGTGCTGTATTGTTTTCAATGTAATACAAGCAAGTAACTAGTATCTTCTTGAGCAAGCAGCACATCCATATATATATAACTCAGACTTACAATGGTCGGTTAGCCTTTTTATTACAAAGTTGTCTAACAAAATTAAGATCCTTCAAAATGGTCTTATGTGAACTTTTTCCCGTTTCTGTTCCTTTTGTATCTGGATAAGCATTGATTTTACACTGCTATTGCTGAAAGCCAGAGATGATATCATGTCATGGTTCTCCAATCATATAAGTCAATAAGTCATTACATATTATCAGGGTTATCCAGTCATAATTACCATATTTTATGTCGATAGTTGGTTTTAAAAATTAATGGTTCTCTGTTAGCTGAAAATTTGAACCCTTTTCACCTTCATTTGTGTAATGAGTATTAACTATTCTGTATCAACCATCTAAAATCCTCAATGTAAAGACTGTCATTCTCACACAGTTTTTTAACATAACAATGATCTGTTACTTCTTGCAAATGGTGCCCTAATATGATTACATTTTGATATCTTGGTTTCTAATTATTTCTTTTCCTTTCCTTTTGTGGGGGGGCTTGACTGTTTTGTCTGCCTATCAATGCGGTTCTTTTGATTTGTTAGGGGAATTTAATCAGGATCATACTTCTTCTCTGACTGAAAACTCTTTTTTTTTTTTTCATGCTGCAGGAAGTAGTTGATACCTCTGGAGGGTAAGTCTCAAGATCATATCTTGTTTTTGTAAAACACAATTCTTTTTTCGACATGGCAATTTAGAGAAGGGTTATTGACATGTCTCTTTTTTACTGAATCCTAGGTGTGGTGCAAGCTTTGTAGTTGAAATTGTTTCAGGACAATTTGAGGGCAAGAGAATACTGGAGAGGCATCGGATGGTTAATGCTGCACTCGAGAAAGAGATGCAAGAGATCCATGCTTTGTCGATAAAGAAAGCCTTGACACCCGAGCAGTGGAAACAACAGCAAGATTCTGAAAATCCACAAGCAGCTACCTAAGGAGGCTACACTACTACTCCAAGACGTTTAATGCAGCTGATAAAGTAGGACCAGATTGTAATTAGTGATATATCAAATCACGAAAGTATGTTCTTATTTGTTATGATGATATGCGGCATATGCCTAAGACACTCAACACTTGAAAAAACCCTTGAGGATATGTTGACCATAATTAAACAATGTAATAAAGTACATCAGTAACTGAATATCAACTACATCTAATCAAATGCTAATCTGGTGCTTTTACATGACTGCTTGTGATTGATTGAATCTTGGAAGATTTAGGTTCTATGCTTCCCGTACATGCTTTTGTCTATCCTTCTCCTAGGACATCATTTGGCATGGAGGAAATTAGTGTACTTGCTTCATTACCCTTGGTCTGTCATTGATATCCCTCGGGAATTCATGAATAGTACAGTTTCACTGTAAAATAAGTACATCATAGTCTCTATGTGTTGCAATTGACAGCCTCCTAAATAAGAGTTTGAAGAGTCCCTATTCTCTTAAGCATCTTTAATCTTCATGGTATGTATACTGGTTTAAACGTAACCTCAGTGGGGGGTTCAGGAAAATTTTTCTGAGATAAGCTTGTACGAAAAGCATTAATATAGCTAGAAATTTTCCTTTGGTTTTGGTTAAGTCTTTCTTACAGACAGAAATACTACCTCCATCTGATATTTATCTGTCATTTTATTTCAATTTCTCATAATTCTTAGTTTGTCATGGTTTTACATCCTCTTTCCGTATATCCATTAAAGTCGGGTATGTTTGGTGTTTATAATAATCTATTTCTATTTTAGGAAATGTGATAGGTCTTCTTGTATGTCTCAAAATAGTATACATGAACTATATTACTTGTATTTGTAATTTTGAAGCCTGGAGAAGAGTCAAGAGCTGTTGATGCAGCTCTACATGAATGTGGTTGCGCTATGGTTGATTTTTGGGAAGAACTTTAGCTTCATTCCAATAGTTAGAACAATATGGATGTTCAAGTAGCTTATACTTCTAACTTCAAATTATACATGATAGATATATTTAGCTATGGATTGTTTAAACGCCTATTTGTATGACTTTCACATGTTTCAGGTCTTGTACTTGTAATTCATATCATTTCACTCCTGTAATTTCAGGTCTTGTCTTCTTGTTAGTTGCTGGATATTATACATTTTTTACAATATGGCAAATGCTAGTGAGAATATATCATTACAGTTAACCTTCTCATTTAGGCTGAAAAACTTTATTTTTAGCTCTTATGGCTGTTGGAAAACTAGTTGCGGCAAAAGTGTTTTTTGGGTTAGAACATTTGAAAAAGCAAAGTCCACTCTGTATAAAAAAAAAAAAAGTTGGATTAGTTATCTAGATGCATCCAGTTCGAGCTAATTAAGACTGTGAACTTAGAGGATGGGTATGTGTAACTGTGTAAGGAATATTTATTTTCAAAGTGCCTCTAGTAGAACCTGATTTCGTAACCTCAAAGTAATTATCATAATGTAATTACGCTGTGACTTTAAGACCTGTTAATTGAATTGATGGAGCGGGTATTTCGAACACTGCCAAATTGCCAATACTTGATAGTGATTTTAGAAATTTGACCAGCCGAACTTTAATCACTCATTCTTCAAAGTTCAAACTTTTCATACATCAAAAACTGGCATATCACAATTTTTCTTTCATTTTTGAAAGCATGAAGTAGTAACATGCATATTCCTGTAGTTAAAATATGAAAAGAAGTCCATATTCTTAAATGGGTGGCTTCTTTATCCTCAATAGTGGTAGACTTTTTGCAAATTGTTGGTAAAAACAAGCAAACTTGTTACTTGTTGATTTACGTACACCGTCCAAACTTGATACCCTTTTTGTTAGGGAAATGTAAGTGAATGAGTAGAGAATTGTCCTGCAATTATAAGGGAATTTCCATGAAAATATCATCCACTAACCTAACAAATTGATGGGCTAATCATCTCATCATCCTTTTTAACACCAGAGACAAGACCCTTATTAAGTTTTTGACAAATTACATAGCCGAAAAGTGTTTACAAATTTAACTTTTTTAATGATAATAATAATTATAATAATAGTAAAGAAGTATATGAAATAAGGTGATTAAGCCTTATTGTAAATATAGAATTTCATCACAGTACACAAAATTATAATTGTATTAACTAGAAATTTATTATATTACGAACAAAATTATTATTGATACATCATTGATCAATTTATAAAAAAATTTAGTGTAAGAGATTTGAAAAGATTTATTCTTTCAGTCAAATATTGTGTTTAGTTTTTACTTAAAATAACCTATAAATAGAAAAAAAAATGTATTTATTTTTTTATCCATTTTTTAAAACCATTATCACGTATCCTATATATAAAGTGAAAGGCCATTTTGGGTAATAAATTTTACTATCCCCAAATTATCCCTTTCAAGTTACAAAATTACCTCTCTTATTCACAATTGTCCTATCATAACTATCCTATAATAATTGCTCCATTTCTTCGTACATAAATTTATATCTTCAATTGTTCTCACTTCCCATTTAAAAAAATAAAAAATAAAATAACTCCTCTTGATTTTTTTTATTTTTTTTTTGAAAAAACTCCTCGTAATTTTGCTCATTTATGATTTTTTCGTTCTTCTTTCATTTTCATGGTTTTAGTAAATACTACTTCTTTGCCCGAGCAACGCTCGATATTCACAGGAAAAAAAAATTATATTTATATATTATTATAACTTTGTATTTAATTATAGATTGTGTGTACATTTAATATTTTATTTATTTAAAGTTGTTATTGTTCTATTATTTAGGCAGTATATTCTCTCTTTTTTTTAAGGAAAAAATTAGAAAAAAAAAAAATTTGGCGGGAAATTTTTTTAATGTAAACGCGACATGTGTACTTCTAGGATAATGTTGGTGATTACTTTAGTATATAGTATATTGATTTCGTCTAGATACCCAGTTTCACAAATCTTAATACACATTGCTGGTGATTCTAGGTAGATGGCGGGCGTTTGTTGTTTATTTATTTATTTATTTATTCTAATTTCTTATATTGTACACGCATAGTGTGTATTTCTTAGCTTGTGTTTTTAAAATTTAAAGAACATATATATAGATAACATATCGTATTTATGCATGTATTTAAATCTAAAAATTGCTTATCATAATTGAAGGTACTAAAATCATGAACCAAGAGAATCAATGAGACAAATGTAACTTGCATATGTATGCCAACTTGCTTCAAACTTTTTTTTCCTTACTCATGTCTATCCATACACTATGTTATGATATTTTCTCATTTCATTACAAACCTAAATCTTTATCTTTTTTGTAAAAAAAAAAACAACAAAAAAACAAAAATCTTTATCTTTTATTGTCAAGCCCACATGATTGACCAATTAACTTTCTTTTTTTTTTTTTTCCATTTTTGGTCCCACAAATCCAAATTTAATAAAATGTCTAAATTAACCTCATACACACACATATTAACCATTCCATCTTTCACTTACCAGTTACCACACAATCTGGTAAATCATGCTCACCTAATTTCATTTTCCTTTTTCTAACACTTGAAAAAACCCTAATTTCACCCATCTTCCCCCAAATTAATTTTCATCCTAACAATCAATCTCAAATAATAAAAAATAAATAAAAGTAAAATTTACCCAAAAAACCCAATTCAATTTTCACAAATACCCAACTTAAAAGATTAAACTTTTTTCTGGGCTGTAAATTTCAGAAGCTGGATAATTCAGAAATGGTGGAAATTTCAGGGGATAGGCGGGAAAATGAGTTGGGTAAGTCAGAGAAAGTAGAGGAGAGAGAAAATGCTAAAAATAAGGAGGAAGATGATAAAAATGGTGCTGCAGAACTTGCAGTTGCAGTAGCTGAGAGAAATTCAGCAGCTAATAGATGGCCGCAGCAAGAAACCATGGCTTTGCTTAGGATAAGGTCTGAAATGGATTTTGCATTTCGAGATTCTGGGTCTAAATCTCCACTTTGGGATGAAATTTCTAGGTATGAATTTCAGTTCAATTAAGCTAAGTTCATTTTTTTGCGTCATTCTATAGATTTTTGGTTGTGGAAATTTCTGGGTATCTGTTTAATTGGTTTATACGGTTGTCGCGATGGACAATGATGTAGACGGGATTTGATCCCGGGTTTTGGTAGCTATTGCAACAGTGTTGGTGTGACTTTTTTTTTTTGTTAGTTACAGTTTTCGGATTGTATTGATGCTTGTGCATGATTTTTATGTGTAAGATGAGACAAGTTTATGCAAATATGAAGTAGCTAATAATAAAATTATATACTGTAGTAAGTTGATGATAGGGATAAATTGAGTGAGTGAGTTCATGTGAAGTTTAAGTTGTAAATTATGCTGATTATTTATTTGGGATTATGGATGCATTTTGTATTATTGAGGACTTATGTTTGTGTAATTTTGGTGATTATATTTGGGTAGTTGGAAACAGTGATGAGTTAAATTTTGCAGCATAAAGTTAAATTGAAATTTCTGCCTGACAAATTGTGTGAATTTGCTTATTGCTGACCGTTTTTTTGATAGAGAGATGAATGACTTATAAGATACATTGAGGAGTGTAATGGACTAATAGTGTATACAATAAGATGTATTTTTGTTTCGGCTTCAAATTTCTATTAGAATGATGGCGTTTACTTGATTGTTGGGCGACCTTTAGTCGGTCATGCATGAGTTTGTGTTCCTTGTTCATGGAGTTGCTTGTTTTGTTTTGTGTAATGTAAGAAATTAGTAGTTAGCATTTGTGATTATGTATCTATGCTGTACACACAGTACATCTGTTTCGTTGTTCAAATTGGGTGCTTTGGCAGAAAGTGGAGTTTTGATGTTGTTTGTTTTCAGGAGAATGGCTGAACTTGGATATCATAGAAGTGCCAAAAAATGTAAAGAGAAATTTGAGAATATATACAAGTACCATAGGAGACTGAAAAATTGCTCATATGATCGTACAAATCGAAAGGCATATCGGTTTTTTGATCAGTTAGAAGCTCTTGGTCACCAGCAGAGTTCTTTCCAAACTTCAGCTTCTGAGCCAGCGGATACCTCTATGAACGACACTGCATATGTTGTGTCTCCAATCTCAAGTCACCCCCAATGTGTACCCCAAATGATAATGCCTGCATCAGTAAACTTGGATTCTTTCACCATTTCAACATCCACTACCTCTAATTCAGGAAGTGAATCTGAAGGGGCTAGGACAAAAAAGCGAAAGTGGGCTGATTTCTTTGATATACTAATGAAATCTGTACTTGAGAAACAAGAGGCTCTGCAAAATAAGTTTCTGGAAGCACTAGATAAACATGAGCATGAGAGACAAGCGAGAGAAGAGGCATGGAAGATGCAACAAATGGATAGGATTAAAAAGGAGCAGGAGCTTTTGATGCAAGAGAGGTCAATATCAGCAGCAAAGGATGCAGCCATTGCATTCTTGCAGAAGGTATTAGAGCAAGGGAAGATTTCTGGAACCTCTGAGCCAGTGCTAGAAAAACCGAGCCAAGAATTGAGCATTGTGTGTAGGAAAGAGAAAGATAATGGTGAAAATTCCTCTTCACGGTGGCCAAAGGAAGAAGTTGAAGCTTTGATAAAGATTAAAACTAACATGGAGTTGGAGTACCAAAGAGTTGGTCCAAAGGGGCCTATGTGGGAGGAAATTTCGACGGCAATGAAAAACTTCGGCTATGATCGAAATGCTAAAAGGTGCAAGGAGAAATGGGAGAACATAAACAAGTACTACAGAAGAGTGAAAGACGGCAACAAACAGAGGCATGCTGATTCTAAAACATGTCCTTACTTCCCCTCCTCGACCAACTGCACAACATAAAATCCAAGAGGTTGGATAACAATTCAGAAAATTCTGGTAGTAACTTGAGACCAGAAGAGCTCTTGCTACACATGATGAATCATCATTCAAGGCAACAGCAGCAGGAACAGGTTGCTTTACAGCAAGAACAAGGTGGACTAACTAAGCAAGATAGTAAGCTGAATCATGTTGAAGAGACTGGTAATGATGCTGAAAGAGCTTATCAGGTTGTTACTCACAACCCTTTGTCGGTGAACGTTTGAATGAGGACATAATGCGAGCAAGGTTAACTTTGTCAATATGACTTCGAGAAGTGAAGATGCATCCGGTTGTGTATATCACCAAGTGCTGTTGAGGTTTTATAAGGAAATGTGATGCTTCAAAGTCGAGCCTTTGTTGATGACCGTCGTTTGGCGAGTATATATTTGCTATAGAGAATAGAGTCATGGAAACTAGTGTATGTCTTGTGAAGAAAACTATACCTTCTCCTGTTCTAGTTTTTGGCAGTCTTAGACCCTGTGCTTGCACAAGGTTGGTAATGTTTGTTTGGGGTAATAAAAAGTGTGAAAATGAGGCCTAGTAGGAACTTTAAGCAATTTTGTCAAACGCTTTTTTAATTCACTGTACTCAAATAATGATACTAATGTTTTTTGTTTGAAATAGGTGAAAACTCCTAATCCATTGATTTATTTTTTTTCTTTTTGTTTTTTCGAATGATCTTAATTACATGTTACAGAGTAAAAGTTATTTTCCAAGCCTACAAGGCATGGGATTACAGTCATTAAGTTTATGTTAAGAGATACTTCTATTTGACAAAAGTTAACTCCCCAAGATAACTGGACTCCAATTGAACACAAAAAAATTGTGTTATTGTCGACCCTTTTCACATGTTTATATAAGATTATAAGTGAGTTAGCTTGACTGTTTGATAATTAGGTTGAAATAGAGTTGTGATTTTCAGCCTAAAACAAATACCTACAACTTCACATTTTACGCAACGTAAAGATATGAGTTAGCAATCTTCACTTAGCCAAACATAAATTAATATCGATATGACGTTGCAACAGACTGGATATAAGAAATTAATTTATTGTATAAGTTTTATTGAATATAATATGTACGAGTTATGTGAATTGATATATATAACCTATTAAATATACAAGTGTGGTTATTAAAAATAGCTCTAACACAATTAATTAAACAAGTCAAATTATTGTTAAGGTTTTCAACGTGTTTATTGATTTGAGGCCTTGAAGGTCATAAAATGTAAACTTTGCTACAGTTGCTTGAGTTGTCGTGGCTTTGTACGAAGGGTCAGGTCAATTAGGACATTCATCATTTCGTAAAATAATCGGCATTCCATTAAAAAAAAAGTCATTTTTTAATTCTCCTTTGGTGAAGTCTGAAGTGGGTTCATAATCCCTGGGCTTGCGTTTAATTGTGGTTCCCTTACAAAACCCTTCTCTGATTCTCTCTCTATCTTTTACTCCATTTATTTATAAAATCAAATAAAAAGGAAAAACACAATGAATCCCCAAAATAATTACCTAGAAACTGAAGAACAAGGTGATATTTTTCTCGATGAATCTGATATCATCCAAGAAGTCCCTTTTGACGATGAAGGTGTTTCACCCTTTTACTATATATTTCATTCAAATATGTATTTTTTTTTTTAATTTTATTGTTTGTGGATTGAATTAATTTGTTTTGTCTGTTTTAAAATCAGAGCTTCCTGAAGCAGATGAAGAACAAGGTTCTGATGGTGATGAACATGTTGGTAGGAAGAGTTTGCTTTCAAGAAAAAATAGGGAAAAAAATAACGCTTTTTCTATTCTATTTTATTTTATTTTATAAAAAATGTGTCTTTTCTTATTTCGAATAGTGTTGTATTGATGGGGTGATTGCAGAGGAAGCTGATGATTCTATGCATATATTTACCGGGCATACTGGTGAGTAATATTTAGTGCTTTCTATTTTTGATTTTAAATTTTCTGATTTTTTGCAAATTTAGTACAATTGTTAAAATTTAAGGCAATATATAGTAAAGCTATGATCTTTGTATTTTAGTGATAATCAAAATTTCAACAAAAAAAATTGTTTTAGTAGGATGAGGGTTCTTGTTGCTTGGACTTTGGAGTTGTTTTGTATGTTAAATTTCTGAATATTGATTTGCACTTAATGTTCCTTTAATTTTCTATTCAATGTCAAAATTCAGAATATTTCATCTTAAAAAATTAGATACCAATCTGTGAGGCTCTAATGTCAATTTTGCAGCAAGTTTTTGTACATTGCTGAAATTACAACTTTAATTTTCTAACGTTTATAAATTTTCTAACTTTAATTTGGTAAGCATTGTAATTTTTTTATTTTTTTTTTGGGTGAGCAATTGTTGGTGGTGTAGAAGAAAAATGAGAAAGATTGAGTCCAAATGAGAGTATGCCTTTCCTCTCGTCGTAAGACACGAGTCCCCCAACTGTAATATGCCATAATAAAATTAGGTACATTGATGCAAAGGATTCCATTTTGTTATTGTGGCTGTGTTGCATTCTAAGAATGACCTATTATTAGGATTGGAAGGGGGAAATTAGTCAAGGAATTTGCAAGATTGTGGCGCCATAATGGCTGTTCATGAAAGTTAGCATAGATTGATTGGTCTACATATATGCTAGACAAACTATTGCTTGCAATTGACTTAACACTTCCTTCTCTATTGGATAGATGAAGTATACACGGTTGCCTGCAGCCCTACAGATCCAATATTGGTTGCAACAGGGGGTGGTGATGACAAGGGTTTTATGTGGAGAATTGGTCAAGGAGATTGGGCTTTTGAACTCCAAGGTAAACTCGTCTGTTTTAATTGATCTGCATGTTATTTGCTCTTTTACCGATACAGAGCTTGTAGTTTATCCATGGTTGTTTTTTTGCTAAAAATTTTGTGCTTTTGCCAGGTCATAAAGAGACAGTATCCAGTGTCTCTTTCAGTGCTGATGGGCAGTTGCTTGCATCTGGAAGCTTTGATGGAATTGTTCACGTCTGGGATGTTTCTTCAGAGAAACTGAAGTGCACACTTGATGGACCAGGAGGTGGAATTGAGGTATTATAATTTAAGATGTATGTGATGGCATATATTTGGCCTATATAATTTATTTATAATGAAATGTGTGATTTTTCAGTGGGTTAAGTGGCATCCTAGGGGACATCTTGTCTTAGCTGGGTCAGAGGATTTCTCTGTTTGGATGTGGAATGCCGACAAGGGTGCCTACCTTAGCATGTTTAGTGGTCATGGGAGTGTAGTGACTTGTGGTGACTTCACCCCTGATGGTAATCTAACTCATACATTTGAGGCTTTTTTTTATTTTTATTTATTGAACTGGCTCTTCTAAGACGAAATGTTATCTGAAATTCTGTTAATCTGTGCTCTAAAGGAAAAACAATATGCACGGGATCGGATGATGCCTCATTGAGGATATGGAATCCAAAAAGTGGCGAGAACATTCATGAAATTAAAGGTATGCTATGACTTCTTTATCTTCTAACATATCAACGCATTATAGATGATGTGCTTCAATATTGAAATATCAAAAATATTCATACCATTTAAGAATTAAGAGTATCCAGTTTCTTTCTTGAATATCTGCATCATGTTGCTAGTTGCACCTGAAAGTTTAATTTGAGAAATTGGGTTGATCTGTGTCACTAAGCTGGTAATGCAATTGTTATTCACTTATTTGTCATCGGATCTGACTTCCATACACAATTGAGAGAATACTAGGATGGAAAAACTGCTGAGTTAGTCCCCCCATATCAGTACAAAGATTTTAGAAATTATCAGGTGCAAATTGTGTCTTGATGAATTAATGAAAAGTATCTTGTAATTTTGTGTGTATAATGCAGCCTAATCAAACCAAGGAAAGAATAAGAAAGTTTGTAGTCAATGAAATCACTGTCTTTATTGAGGTGCTCGAGCAGTGTAGTAGTCTAATCTAAGAAGGGAAGAAGTACTTGAGCAGCTTTCTAGCTAGTCAAGGAATTGAGATACAGACCAGTAATAGTCATCTCACTCTTATTCCTTCTTAAGCTTCGCTTAAAGTGAATAAGGACATAAGGTAAAGGGAACAAATAAGAGGGGAAAATGAAGCAGAAACAGTAATCATAGCTAATAGTAACATGTAAACTAGCTGTATTGTAGTGATGTTATTAAACATAAATCATGCCTATTTGAAAAGCAGTTTTAGTTCTTGTGAATTTATTACAAAGAAAATATATTAGAAAGACGCCTGTTTTCTCCTTACTTTGATATACAAGTATAAGTTTTAACTGATACTTTTGTAATTTTGTGTATCTTTCACAATGTGGAACTCCAGATGCTTATGCTGATATTTTGAGCATGATCTGATCGGGCTTTGTCTTTTATGCTACTCATCCTTTGAAACTTTGGGGAAGTTTACTGATGGATTTAGCTTTCTTGATCTAGGTCACCCTTATCATACTGATGGAATAACTTGCATGGCAATAAGCCCTGACTCGGCTATAGTTTTGACTGGGTCGAAGGATCATAACGTTCACATGGTCAATATTTCGTCAGGAAAGGTTAGACATGCTTTTACTTTTTTATAATTAAATCTTACCCTTCCTCCTGTTCTTTAAGTTCGTATTGCCCACAAGAATTCAATCCCTTTCCATTAACAATGTTAACATTATATAGTGTGTCATTTCTTACGGAATTGAAAAGTTTGGTCTCTAGGTGGTTGCTTCTTTTCTGATGCCATCTGTGATATGCACCATCGAAGTCTAATTACCTTTCTTTGATAGTGATGCATGTGTCTGTTGTGCTCTCGTGGCCCAATAGGCAATGACAGTTTGGTAGTGCATTACTGCATACGGCATGTTATGATTCATAATTTTGATGGTAAAGGCCTTGATCTGTGTCTGTGGCCTGTGGGTCTTGCAGTCTTACTGCTTTTATTACACAATAAGAATTTGAATCTTATCAATAATTCTGAATGTCTTTTTACTTTAAGCTACCAAATGGGGGAACTTTAGGTTGGTTTTCAGTTAAGTCACATCACTTCATCACAGTGGTTAAATTTCAGATAAAACTCAAATTGTAAGTTGGTAGCCAATATACTAGATACATGAGTTCTCTGGAGCATGCATTTCAAGAAATGCTGCAACTCAGGGTAATCTTGATGCAACTTTAAAAAACCGAAACTTTTTTTTTTCCTCTCCCTTTCCATGATTTCCATTAATTTTTTATTACCATTTTTAAATTTACAATCATTTTTTGGTGAACCTACTGCTACCTGGAATCTGTATACTTTTATTGTTGCATGAAGCTGTATCTACTCATCAATATATTTTTTGTGTGTTCTGGGGAACATGCTGCGTTTGAAGATCGTATTTGGTGTCTAAATTCTCTAATTGAAATATTACATTGTTTATGCACTTTTTGGTGGTCAGGAACTTATAAGATCCTACTTGTGCAGGTGATTAGCTCTCTTAGGGCTCACACAGATTCAGTAGAATGTGTTGGGTTTTCACCAAGGTTTGTCTGTCTTCTTTTTTGTTTCTTTTGTATCTTTTGTTTGTGGCTGATGAGTATCTTACAAGCATTGTTTTAGCAAATGTCGACCTTTATATGTGTCAAGATTATAACTTGCTCTGTGGTATGATCTATATGCGGCAGTTAGTCTGGCAGTGAAGTGGTGTTAAGTGTTAACTATTGATTGTTATTCTCTTTTTAGTTATTTGTTCACCCCTTGTTCCCAAGTAGGCAAAAACTATGGAAAATGAAAATCTATTCTTCAGTTTGATGAAGTTTCCACTTTAGTAATCTGTCGAATTTCATCCCAAGTTATGTTTTGATCTTTCTAAATAATATATAACTTTCTAAATACTGTACTAACAGTACATGAGCATCATAAATAGGTATAGAGAAACTTAGTAGTTAGGGATTGAAAATGGCAAGAGCAAGTTGGAGGATGAGTAATTTTTATGATTGTTTGCTGGAGTCGTATGTGAATACTCTCCAGATTTCCTACTTTGCATGGAAATAGTCGAATATTCCATAACCAATTGGTATTCTGCTTTTCCATATGAAACATAGGCTGGAACGTGATGATATTAGGCAAAATATAGTTTTGGGCATGACTCAAATTCACAAAACCCTTGTGCTTTCTCTTCCCTTTTTTTTTTAACATCAAATTACTGTTTAACCTTACTAATCTACTACTACAGCGGTCCATGGGCAGCAACTGGAGGCTTGGATCATAAACTAATCGTGTGGGATCTCCAACATTCAGAACCTCGCAGTACATATCACCACGAGGTTTGCTTAAATTTGGCTTGTTCATTCATGTTGGCTGTTTTGATAACCGAGCCTCAGAACTGTGGACTTTTTTTGTTTTACCATATCACTGTCTTGTAGATTTGCAACTATTTTACCTTTTACTTTTAAGCAGGATGGAGTAACATGCCTGACGTGGATTGGGACATCAAGGTTTATAGCTACGGGATCTGTTGACGGTAAAGTACGAGTTTGGGATAGTCTCTCCGGGGAGGATACCGCTGTCAAAACCTTCAGTGGACACAATGAACCCGTTCAATCTTTGAGTGTTTCTGCTGACAGAAATTTCCTTGTCTCTGTCTCTCTTGATGGGACTGCTCGTGTTTTTGAGATTGATGAACTCAAGTGAACTGAATTTTGAGGTATGTATTAGGCGAAGCCTTTAGCTAGAGAAACTTTATGAATTGGAGATGGGGAGCTTGAAGAACTGATTGCGAGTTGCGACTTCATAGGAAGGAATGAAAGGAAATCAATGTTCCATTTGACCTTTTCTTTCCTTTTTTTCCCCCTCTTGTGGGGAGTGTAGATCTCATAAATTTGATCAGCATAGTTGGTTATTTACTTTGCTCATATTCTCTTTATACTTCATTCTGAATCTATAATCTATAAATTTGACCTTTTCTTTCCTTTTTTTCCGGAGATTTTATCTTCTTTGATATTTGGCGATTCATTAATATTGCAATATTGTACATTTGAATGCAGACATAGTCCCACTTCTTTCTAATGCAAAGTACTCAAGAGGACGTTATTTTGATTTATTAAAGGCAACGTAAGAATGAGAAGATATTAGGAAATCCTTCTCACGAAAGGGATTCCTAATACGAAAGGAGTATTTTTTAGATGTAGTAATAGGTTTGGGCAGTAAACCTGCAAGTATTGTTAATGTGAGGAGGATATAATTGTACGAAGTAGTTTTTGGACTGACCCCTAATTATTGAAAATTGCTAGACTTTTACTTGATTTGTACAAGCACGTATATTAAAAGAACAATATCAAACTGAATGAAAAAATATTTGCTAACAAAATTAAATAATTTTTGGTCAGTTTATAGTCTAAGCTTCCCCTCGATCTATCACTATCCACGGCATTTTTTTAAGTGAACGTGTCACAGTTAATTACTCCGACAATTCATGTATATGTTGACAGAAAATTCTTCTCAAACGATTATTTAATCATTTCTCTCAAATTTATAATCTATGTTTCTTCAGAAAATTAGGCTTGTCAATATCAAATTACGTGCAAGCATTACATATAACCTGCTGGTCAGTTATAATATAATCAAGAAGCAAATTCCTTGCCTCCTTGGAGTATAAACATATTAGTCAGAAGTTACACAAATAAACTCAATTTTATTTAGAACCAACATGACTCTAATCAGTTGAGCTAAAAAAACCAACCAATATGAATTCATTTGTCACAATTTGGTCATTCACATTCAGATGCCTGTTGTTGCTTATCTTGGTAACACAATCAACTGTGTCTGCATCAGTCGCGAAACCTGGCTGCCCAAGCCAGTGCGGGAACTTGACCATTCCTTACCCCTTTGGCATTGGCTTCTCTTGTTCTATGGCCTTTGAGTACACACTTGTCTGTGATGCTTCCACAAGTCCACCCAAAACATTTATACCCAGACCCATAACTGATACCAACACTGAGGTGCTAGCCATATCAGCTTCCCAAGTTCGCGTTGCAAATAGGGTGACATTGAGTTGCTTCAATCCTTCAGGAAAAGCAGTTCGCAACAAAACAGAATTAATAGCATTTAAGGATGATTTCCCCTACAGTTTCTCATCTACTGCAAACAAGTTTACGGTCATTGGCTGTGATGTGTTGGGGATAATCGTTGGATTGCAGGGCTTGGGTGCTGCCTGTGGAACACTCTGCGCGAAACAACAGGATGTCATTGGAGGGTATTGTTCTGCCATTGGTTGCTGCCAAGCCCTGATTCCCAAGGGATTAACTGCTGTGGGGTTTGCCTTTGCTTATCCTGCGAACCACACCAGTGTCATAGGGTTTAATCCTTGTGTTTATGCCTTCTTAGCCGAAGAGGATAAGTTCGTGTTCCAAGGAGCCTCTGATCTTCTTGACCCAAGTTTTGAAAACAGGACAACAAACAATGTTCCTATTGTTCTTGATTGGTCAATCGGTAATGGAACGTGCAGCCAAGCTAAGCAGAATTTAACGTCTTATGCATGTCAGCATTACACCACATGTCGTGATTCTGATAGTGGTAAAGGTGGATATCGCTGCTATTGCCTCCCTGGTTACGAGGGAAATCCTTATCTCAGTCCTGGCTGTACAGGTTGGTAACTTCTTTTGCTTCCTTCTTAAAGAGTAAATGTTTACGGAGTATTATTGTCTTTCTTGTAAGCCTATTGTTTACATTTAGCTGTAAAATTGAACTCAAGTAACCCCTGTCTGAAGTCTGATCACATTTTTGTAAGCTTAAAAGAACAAAGCCAAGCAAGAGACTCTTATATATAGTTACTTTCAAATTATAAATTACGACATTTCATGATCATTCTTGTACTTGTATGTTCATGATATTCCAATAACACTTCTGTTGCCAGATATTGATGAATGTGCAGATCAGAACAGCAATCAGTGCTCTAAGATCTGCAAGAACACTCCAGGAAGCTACATCTGTTCTTGTCCATCTAAGTATTCCGGTGATGGTTTTAGAAACGGGACAGGTTGCGTTCCAGAACCCTCTCTCCTTGCCATGAAAGCAAGTCTAGGTAATTGTTCATTAATTCTTTCACATTTGTACATAAACATCTAAAATACTCCGTAGCTGTCAAATATCATACAACGGTACTATGCAGAAATATATGCTAATGCCTCGCTTTCATCCAGGTACTAGCATTGGGGTGTTATTTTTGCTCATAGGCATGAGTTGGGCGTGTTTTATGATCCGGAAAAGAAGGCTGATGAAGTTGAGGGAACAATTTTTTAAAAACAACGGTGGTTTGCTGCTGCAGAAACAGTTATCTTCTGAAAAACAAGCAGGCATAGAGTCTGCCAAGGTATGTACAATTAAGGAATTAAAACTAGCTACTAAAAATTTTAGTGAAGATAATATTCTTGGGAAAGGAGGGTATGGAATTGTGTATAAAGGCCTACTCCCAAATAATCAAGTAGTTGCAATTAAGAAGTCGAAAGTAGTAGATCAAAGTCAGATTGAACGAAGTGGTTATTTTAACACGAATCAGCCATAGAAATGTGGTGCAACTCTTGGGTTGTTGCTTAGAGACACAAGTTCCTATGCTAGTGTACGAGTTCATTTCCAATGGTACTTTTAAATGACCATATACAAAGTAAAAGTACATCACCTAGTTGGCTTTCTTGGAGAAACTCTCTAAGGATTGCGGTTGAAGCAGCTGAAGCACTTGCATATTTGCACTCTGCCTCCTCTATGCCTGTCATACATAGAGATGTGAAGTCTACGAATATTTTGCTTGATGACAATTACGCAGCTAAGATATCTGATTTTGGAGCTTCGAGGTTAGTCCCCTTAGACTACACGCAGATATCTACTCTAGTCCAAGGAATGTTAGGATATCTTGATCCTGAATACTTTTTCTCGAGTCAGCTAACAGAAAAGAGTGACGTATACAGTTTTGGGGTAGTTCTTGCTGAGCTCCTTACTAAACAAAAACCAATTCCTTCAGAGAGGGAGAATTTAGCAACCCGTTTTGTTAGGTACATGAGGGAAGACCGTCTTTTTGAGATAATTGTTCCTCAATTGATGATTGAAGCACCTCAAGAGCAACTCATAAGTGTAGCCGAGCTTGTCAGAAAATGCTTAAGCATGAAGGGAGAAGATCGACCTACCATGAAAGATGTCGCAGTTGAACTTGACACATCGAGGAAGCAAATAGTTGATGAGACCGCAAACTTGTTAGCAAATGATGAACAAGGGGACTTGTATCCAGTGCCAGGGCGACGTTTAACAACACCGTACCATGACCACGTTAGTGTGCCAAGCACTTCAACATTAGATAACAGTTCTGGATTATTTCAGAGTATGCAGAAGGAGATAATTGATGAGATGAGCTACCCCCGTTGAGTGCCTTATTAATTGTGACCATAAAGTTGTATTACATAATGCTATGCATAAATCGTTTTTCATTATACTAGTATTTTGTTGTGGAATTATTGCTTTATGATGAACATCTTCTAGTTGGTTTTTTCTGCAATGTAATAAGGTAATGTGAGATACATAATCACCTAACAAAATTTAAAATTAAGTAAAATTTTAATCTTTTTTTTTTTTTTTTTTTTTTTTAATGTAATAAGGTAATTGGTAGAGAATATTCATAGAACATTCTCCTCCTAGGTATAGGATATATTTTGTATGAACCACCCTTCATTTTTAAAAAAAAAATTTCCTCTTGACGTCATCGGCAGCAGCAAAAGCACAGTCTCCCTCCATCTCCTTATTAATTGTCGTAACACTCCAAGCCACCCTTCCAAGAGGAGGTATTTAGTTAGTGGCCATCTTTCCTCTTTGGAGCCATCTTCACGTACAACATGAAGAGAAGAGAGATGTTGGATAATTTTTGCTCCAATTGCCAATGAAACTTTGACCTTTTAATTTATTTTTAATTTTCTAACTAATGCATGCGGTGGGCTTTGTCATTCTCTAAATGCAGCCACTGCTTTGTTTTAGTTTTTGGTGGGATTTATCTCCTTGTGTGGTCAATTTCTTTTCTTAGAGGTAGATGTTCCAAGTGGTTAAGTGGTGGGATTTTTGTATATTCCCGAGCAATTTTATTTGCTTTTATTGAATTGTGATTTCCCGCAACATTAGTGCTCTCTCTTTTGGTAGTCCAATCCTCTTCTTTTCACCGGATCTACAACCTAGCCTAAATTCGCAACCCGTGCGCGGCCCTTCAACTTCTCCTTGCCCAGCATCACTCTTTTCCCTTATGCGTAGATTGTGGCTATTGCTTCTCCTCGTCATCACTGGCACTCTTTGGCTGCTTCTCTTTTGATCATGGGTTACCATAATATCCTTCACCGTCCAATGCAAGATTCAGGTCCAGTCTGAGCATCTAATTTTTCTCCCTCTCCAACTGCGGGGGTGTGGTAGAGAATATTCATAGAGCATTCTCCTCCTAGGTGTATAATATTATCTTTATGATATCTTTACATATCTTATAGTTATCTAATATGATTAGGTTTCTCCTTATAACTCTATAAATATTGATCAATGGAAATCACTCTGATTAAGGAGTTTATATTATCTGAAAGTAATGTCAGATTGTCAGTGATAGCTTGAGCTTATAATCTAATGTTGTTTGCTAGAAGAGGAGCCTAGGTTTTTGTTTAGCTTACAGCCTTACACCTTGCCCAAAATAAATGTTAGGATTTACTTTGTTCTTTCATATAGTTTAATGACTCTTTTTTCCCAAAAGTGTATCCGTGTATATAATCTATCAAAGTTGCTAAGAGATTGGAATTGAGTTTGGAGACTTTGTTAATATGCACACAATATAACCTCACTCTTATAATTTTTACATGCAATGATATTGAAATATTTATGACAAAAGATACATCTTGAAAATCGTATAAAATCAAGTAGATAATCTTTGAAGAATGAAGGAAATACATTTTAAGAAACTTCAAAATAAAAAGGATGGTCGCTCACACCTATCTTACTTCAGTCAAACCGGTGCGACTAATGCAGGGCAAAAGGAATATGTAAAATCTAAAATGTGACTCTAGTCTTGAATAGTTTCATATAGAGTACTCAAGTCAAGAGTCAAGAGACCTCTAGTATGAAAAGAACTAATGGACCAGGCCAGTGGGTTTGGTCCATATGGTCTTGGACATTTACGGGCCCTTCACCACATCAATATCAAGTTGTCTGGAAGATTATCTCATTTGGCTCACTTACTAGGTCCCATCATTTTTATTTTAATGGACCATCAAGTCTATTATGTTTGATTTATCATCAATAATTAATATTGCATCATCAAGATAAAAGGAATGTTATCATGAATCATAATGAATAATGATATAGGATAATGAATATGGAGTCCACATCATTCAATAGTATACTCCCTTAACTTCAGAAACAGTTACAAATTATATTGCATCACTTTTTTAAGTTAAGAAAATCATTTGTTATAGAAATGTTTTACAAATTTATCATAGAGTAGAAGTTTAGGCCTTTATTACAAATTTTGAATTAGTTATGTTTTACAAATTTTTTACAGAGTAGAAACTTAGGCCTTGATTGAAATTAGTTATGTTTAGTTATGCCTTAAAACTAAACATATTGGTCATATAATTTAATTGACGAAACATAGGAAGTAATACTACATACATTCTTATTTTAAAAATAATAAAATTATTTGCTTAATCATACAATATATTTCCCACTAATTTACATAACAAAGACTAAGTAAGAAATTTTTTGTTTAGAAAAGATTCATATAGATACCAATAAATACTCCGTTTTTCTTATAAGTAAACCTGATTACCCGATGAAATGAGAAAACCCGAGTGGCACGTACATCAACAAGCATCCCCACCCTACGCGCCACCCGGTGGCCTGGATGCTCCGGGATGTCCAAGGCTACATCAACATGATTACACGAGCCAAGAGCCATATCGTCAATATGTTGTATTGTTGTGTAAGATGACTAAGGCCCTGTTCTTTTGAGTTTCTGGGCAGAGCAGAGCAGGGGTCAGCAGATCAGATTTCAGCAGAGCAGAGCAGAGCAGAGCAGATTTCGACTTATTATTAACAAGTGCATACCATTGATTTAGGTGAATGAAAACATACATAAATGTGTACCATCTTTAACATATGTTAATAGTAGAAAGATAAAAGACAATAGTTTAACATCTTCAATTTATTACAGCCGCATATCAAAATAGGAACATAATTAGATAAGAGTTTAACATCGTGGTGTATTAACCATCTACTTCCATATGATCTTCATTTTCATCATCTTCATTGGCGCTTTGATCTTCATTGTTATCACCTTCATTGTCGCTTTGATCTTCATTGTTATTAATTCCGTTCAAAAAAGAAATTGTTATTATTATTATTATTAATTATTAATTAATATTTTTATTAAATATTAATTCTTTATATTGTGAATTATTAATTATTATTATTATTAATTATTATTATGAATATTAAATATTAATTATTATTAATATTAATAATTAATAATTATTAATTATTATTATTGTTTTTTTAAACACATTAATTATTATCATCAATACAATATTAATTATTATTATTATTAAATATTAATTATTATTATTGTTATTATTAATTATTATTTGAAAACAAAGCAGAGCAGATTTGATTAGCAGAAGAGCAGCTCTAAAGAACAGAGCCTAAATAAGCCAAGGGTATGCCCCACAATACGGTGATTCCAACTTTATTACCGTTACATATTATAATACCCACACTTTCATAAAAAAACAACAAAACCAAATCCATCTTATTCAGATGAGCAGCACACCTCTCATCTCTCTTCCCATCTCACTCTACTAAAACACTAACCAAACCACTCTTTCTTCCAAAAAAATCCCATAAAAATGGCAGAATACGAAACACAAAATAATCAAGAACCCACAATAATCCCAAAAGAAACCGCAATTCAAACCTTAAACACAATAATCCAACTCCATTTCGAAAAAACCCTTGAAAAAAAACGAGCAGTAGACCACCAAAAGAAGCAACTTTGGAAGCTCTTTCAACATTTCTTCCTCTTCCTTTCCTTAGTATTCGCTTCGCTTTCGCTTAGCACTCGCCTTCAATGCCGCCATTCTTGGATCCCCATTTCACTCCTCTCCTTTTCTCACCTCATCTTCTATGTATCTGTTGCACAAACTCTTAGGTGCATCAATGCTTTCAAGTATCAAAGAAGATGTCATAAGCTTACTCTTGGTCTTGCTACTGATAAGCTTAGGCAGCTTAAGACGATCACTATGATTAATAGTGATGGAGGAAATCACGCGTCGTTTGGTGTAATTAATAATGTTGATGACGAGAGTTGCTTTGTTAATGGGCAGGATTTTGAAATTCATTATCAAGAACCTCCTGAGAGTTATTTTGGTAAGTTTAAGAGAAATTGGGCACTTTATTTTGGGTTTTTAATCTTGGTTTATGGTTTTATGGTTTCTTCCTCTGTTGTTCTTCTCTGTTTCTAGCAAAAAAAAATTACTATTCTTTTGTATTATTGATTCGGATTTTGTTTCTTTATTGGGTAATTAAATTAGTAAAAAATACAGATGAGTACTCGTATTAATTTTACATTCTTTAAAAGCTAATGATTTGTTTAATCATGTTTAGATATCAGTACAGTAGTACACATATGTTAAATGTTACTTGTAAATTTGTAGTAGCGTTAGTTGATACGTACTCTGTACAAGTATAATTTAAACTTGTAATGCGACAACTAGATTCCAATGGTAGATGCAAGTGGAAGTACTATAAAAATGAATTGAAGAAGAGCATGTGAGTAGTTAAGATCAATGGCTGAGGATGTAACGGATAACTACTGTCAATTGTTAATCAATTGCATCTACTTTCTCTCACTTCAACCCTAAATCAAAGGTGCACAAATTTTGAGGACTTTTATTATGGTATTGAAGGATTTCTCAGTCAAAAGACTGAAAATTCAGATTTTCTATTATTGGATATTTTTCACCATTGTATCTTTATTCAAAAGACTGATGTGGTGGTGACTGTGATATAAAGGATATATATGTTGAATTCTGGTCGGTCAATTTTTGGTATGTCAATTATTTACATAGACAAGGTTTGGCAATTGGCACTAGAGATATTTTCATAATTCATCAAAAAAAAAAAATCTTCATGATTGTCCGTTTAGAAATTATAGGTCACATTCGACTTTGGTGGAAAACACTTACGTTATGATAATCAAATGTTAACAAGGTTTGAAGTTAGTATCAACTATCAAATCAAATATAGTAACCTACATTTAAGGAAATTTCAAAGTATTACCCGCTTCAAAACCGATGCAAGGCATCCCATAAGCTAACCGAGTTGCCAGAGCATAGAGATGCAGCATTTGGGGACATTCTCGTTCAGCTTAATAACATCGTAAAAAATAGAGCTTATTATTGACTTACAAAATGTACATCTCCATTTATTCCCCAAAGCAAAGATGTCAAGAAACAAATAATGTACAATGAACTCAAAAATAGAACCACCAGCTCATGCTCCAGAGAGTGCACTGGACAACGATTTATATGCGTTCACGCACAATTTGAATTTTTCTTCAGCTGCGGCCTGCATTTGTTTAGTGGTCACCATTTTAGAGAGCAGCAAAGTCATGTTTGAAATATAGTGAGTTTAATGATCGTTAGCATCCCAGAAAAATGAAGTACTGTACTCTACTATAACTTCAAATAGTGATGGGTAATTTTTCAGTATGTGATGGTACGAGTTCATCTAACAACTTGAGCACATAATACATGTAAAACAAAATTACCGATTCATGGACATTGCTAGTAAAAACAAGGGAATAGAATAAAAAACAAAAACAAAAACTTGTGAATTTTTCAAGAAAACCCCATTTCCTATTTTCACTTCCTTTAGAGAAACACAGCTTCCCATGAACAAAATTACATCGATCAGGTGATTCAATAGAACTAATATTATTTTTTTTCTAGCCACTTCTGAGAAATTTAAGATGACAGATTTGGTCATATATTTAACTGGGTGACTAATTTCTTTGATGGGCGGCTAATTAGGTGACGCTAACTGTGCATTCGATGTTGGGTGAAGAATAAAATTTTGGATGCTAACCTGTGAAGGACCTTGATGTTTATCAGGGTGCCACTTCAGTGCCGACGAGTGAAAACTGCAAGGGTAGAAATGTTTTTTAGAGAGAAATTAAATAACATCCATGATTCACTGTTCAGCACCAACTTTGAGTTGATAATCCAGTCATTAGAACTTACGCAGTTTTCACATCTTTTAACTTCAGAGGACCATTTTGCGGCAGACCAAGTACGGCTCTATCTGAGCGTGATCCGACATTAAAAGCTTCGTCTTCTAAATTAGATTCATTTGCTGTTTTCCATTCTTTCTGATGATCCCTTGTATTGTAATATGATTCTCTCCAGTCAAAACCAGGAGGAGTTGATCTATGAGAAGTTCCTGCCCATGACCATGAATACCATCTATTTCCAAAAGAAGCTTGAAAGATATGTTCAGGATGATCATCATCATCTTCAGACGTAAATCCTTTTCGAAACTTACCTGAGTGAAGCATCAACTATATCAGAAGATTTTGATGAAGTGATGAAGATCTTTATAAAAGAACTCAAAGAGCATAATATAACAGGTGTGCATAAAAGGAGAAATTACAAAGTACTCCAGGAAAAAAAAAAAAAAAATGCAAGAAATATCTACAGTAATCCGACAGCAATTTGTTGTGCAGAAATGGCAGATTAGGGGGAAAAAATGAAGCAGCATAAACTCACGTCTCATTCTATGGTTGCGAATCTTTTGAGCACGAGATTCTGACTTTGATCGTCCTTTATTTGTAGAGTTTTTTGGTTTTTCATCAGTGTCCGCATCCCATTTATTTGCTCCATATGCTTTTTGTTCATCTTTCTGAAACATACAATTGCCAAACAAGTGTTACTAAACCTGACAAAGCTTATCTGTTGCATCAAAGTACAAATAAGTTCTTTACAGAATAGGCAATGTAGGATATATGTTCCTCCTATAATGCCTTGGTTCAAAAATAAATCATACGCATTATAGTTATGTTGTTTACTTATGTTTGGATAGAGAGAAATGGAGGGAAAGGAAGAGAAGAGAAATAGAGGGATGCACCATCCTATGTTTAAATATCTAATGCAAGGAGGGGAGAGTAGGGAATTGGAAGGATCCATTTTCCTTTACCCTTATAATAAACCAAATCCCTCCATTGTTGGAGAGAATTGGAAGGAAAATGAAAGGTCACCTTCTCCCTCCCCTCACCTACCTTTACCTTCCCTCTTTTTCATTCCCCTTCACTATTGTTAATTTGTTATCCAAACGTAGTGTTAAGTATGATAAAGAGTTTACTCGATCCTTAATTCCTTATTGCTGATATATGATGAAGGTAGTCAAATCACCATCCCACAGAATTGGCATTTTGAGGAGTACCTACTTACATACAGTGGAGACTAGACAATGAGTTCACATGCAATACAGTTGGCAAGAAAGCGGAGACATCAAAACTCACAAGAAACCATGCTTATAAGCCTTATAGTATGCATATGAACCAATCAAATAATTGATAATCCACCCAAATATCTACTGCATAAGAGCAAACATATAACCAATCTCTAACAGTTTGAATGAATATGGAGGTTATAAGAAACCATAGCTTCAACAAACCGTCTCCACCAGACTTAAGACATATAGAAAAATTTGTCCCTGAAGGGCAACTAAGCCAGTATGAACTGTAAATGAAATAGATATGATAGTGCAATACCCGAGAAGAAGTTCCTGACTCCCCATATTCAGATAAGAGACCCCAAAGTGCCTTCTTTGCATCAGCTCGCTTTTGGCGTGTCACATATCGGGCATAATTCTGGAATTTTGGTTCTATCATATGAGATCATGAGCAATAAAAGAGGAACTGAAGACAACATAAAAGGGAAAAAACAAAAAAGAGAGGTAAGTACTTTAGATGGTTGTTAGCCTGCGTTGAAGTCCTGGCATGGAACAAGGAGAAGAAACACTAGTCACACACCTTTTCAAGACTTTTAAAGCCATATAAACAAATAGGGTGAGGATAGTAAAGCATTAAAACAAAAAAGATGAGAATAGTTCCATCTTTAAGTTTAGAGTTAAGTTACCCTAAGGCCTAAGTACATGATCATTAAACAGCAAGCATAAAGAACATATCACGCAAATAAAAAAAAAAAAGTCGGATGAATTATTCAGTATATGTTGTTTCTATAGTGAATTAAACGATAATCCAATCACCTAATCCCCAAACAATCACAGAAAGCATGATATGCAAGATCAAGCAAAGAAAACCCAACCACTAGGATAGATACGGTTCAAAGAAAAACTCTATAAAAAGTCCTTACTAAAAACTCAGTGCTCTAAAGTGAAGAGGGGGACTTGATAGGCGTGATAGCAGAACAATGACCATCTTCCAGCATAGAAACATTATTCGAAACAAACTTAATAATATACATTGAAAGTTTGAAACCTCTTATGCTCATAAACCTGCCCTCAATTTATCTCTTGCTTTAAGTGTGCTTAAAACCAAATATATGTTGCCACTTGCTTTCAACAAGGAAAAGGAATAGCACAAGTAGTAGCTAAACTTAAACAGGCTCTCAAACAAATCCATGCTGCCATTAAACTTCGATGAGGGAGCATAGAGCTAAAATTCAAACTCAGATCATTACCGCCTTTCAAGAAAAGCATACCTTCTCTACAGACTTCAACTCTCCTGAATATCCAACATTCGAAACTCTAAGCAGGATTCTGAGACGAAACAGATAGTTACTTAGTCAGCTATACAAATTGACTTGTCCAAATTTTGAATCAACTCAGCACAACTCAAGTCGTTAACAAATTGAGTCAAACTAGTCAATGCATCTTGAATAGCTAAAATATTATAACCAACCAGCAGTGATAAATAACTTCAATGACTATGCAGACCTTAGTAGTGATATTGATCCTTAAGATGCCCTAAAGTAGGAAGACAGTAGTGGTGCTGCTAAGAGCCTCCAATAAGTTTAGCAAAGAGCCAATGCTGCAAGCTCAGAATAGAAACCTCGGAGAGTATCCTACACCAGGCCTGGACATATTACTACTTCTTCTACTGAATAAATTTAGAATGAAAAACTGAACAAAGAAAAAGAGGTGAGGAATTCTTAAGAAAGCAAACCTATTCCCTATAAGATTGGACTAATAGACATGATTTATCATTACCCTTACTTATATGCTTCAAAACAAATAAGAAACAAGAATTCGAATAGAAAGCTTATGTATAGGTATAGTACCACAACACGAAATGCTGCAAGACTAACAAACGAGGGATAATCCCAGTAGATCCCAACTCTTTCCAAGGCTTCAATGGTTCCATGAGCTAAATGTTCCCTTCAATTTTGCTAATAGCTACAAAAAGGATTATGTAGGATAGAAGAAACCATGGATTATGTTGAACAGTCAACACTTCTATTAGATGTCCTTGGCTTCAGTGTAAGTCCCCAAAAATCAAAGAAACAAGAATTTACGGTGCAATCATGATGGACGTAGGCTTTAGGCTTATTGCCACATTTCCCATACTACGTAAATATTGGTTGTCTTCTGTTCTTGTTAATCAACTATCATATTCTATTTCTATGAATCCAACCCCTGACTTGAACTCTCAATCTTGACACAACCGGCATCAAGAGCCAACCGATGCAATGCTGCAATTACCCATCTACTCGTCCATACACCAAAAAGGCAAAACCACTCCAATCAACCTAAAGCAGTGTCCATTAAAAAAATACCTCACTTCCTAGCAATGTAAAGACGAATAGACAAGAACTTGTGACCTAGTGTTAGGATCCAACCTCTTTCATCATGTATTTTGCTTTCTTATGTCTTTACTTAGTTTATGTTAGACTTTCAATGTATTTGTGTAAGTAGTTTAGGCGCTAGAGGAGATTATTGTGTTACTGTCATTTCAGTGTTCACTAGTATTTCTCCATGTAAACAATATAAAGCTCTATATGGAGCGATGCTTGAATGAATGAAAAAGCTCCTATTCGGGTTGCCTTGCTTTAAGACTTGTGTGTTGATTTAAGCCTTTATAGATATTGTGCTTGCCTTGTTTTAAAGCTCCCCACCGAACCAAGAGACTCTCAAAGACGCCTACATCCTTGTCGGTTCCGCTTGTGCCCGCTTCGAAGTATCGGCCGTCACAAGCCCCGACCCTGCACTCGTTACTAACGATTGCCTCATTTAGATACCTTTGGTCCGTGTTGCTGTGTGCCCACGAACCTCTCTCACTCTAGGCTTGCGTTCTTGTTTCTAAAAGATAAGAGCGCGCCGCACGATCCGGTGTCAAACCACTCGGACCGTGACAGTTGGTATCAGAGCCAACGCTGCATCGTTGCCTAAACTCGTGTTCAAGTAGCACGCCAGTGATGGAAGATAATCTTGAATACACCTTCGAATAACGGCTGGCCTGGCTGAGGGCAAGTCCGAACAATGGGCCTTCCTAGAGGAAAGGGTGCCCAAGCTCGAAGATATTGTGATCAAGCAGGATAATGAAATCAGCAATTTACGTTCCACAGTAGATGGACTGTTGGAGCAACTGAATTGTTGTCCAGGCACTAGCTGATGAGGCACTCGACAAGTGTGCCACTATGCATGCTCATCAAGGCTTTGGGGGCAGTGGGGGTGCAAAGATAAAGCCGCCCAAGCCCCAAACCTTTGATGGGGCAAGAGATTCGAAGCAAGTCGACAACTTCATCTTTGACATGGAACAATACTTCCGGATTTGTCAAATAGAGGATCCTTTCAAGGTGGATACTGCCACCATGTATTTAGTGGAGGACGCAAAGTTGTGGTGGCGCACCAAATATGCCGACATTCAAGCAAAACGAATCACGCTTGATAGTTGGGAGGATCTCAAGAAGGAGATCAAGAACCAGATAACACCGAGTTCGTGGCTCGCACAAAGTTAACCACCCTACACCACAAGACTTCCATTCGAGAATATGTGAAGGAATATTGTGCGTGCATGTTAGAGATCTAAGATATGTCAGAGAAGGATCGGTTGTTCAACTTTGTGCGAGGTTTGAAGGATTGGGCGCAACGTGAGATTTGGCGCCAAAAGATAGACACTCTAGCTGGTGCTATAGCAGCAGCTGAGAAGTTAATGGATTACTCACCCGATAAGGGCCCTAATCAGAAGAAGGGGAACAATGGACAAGCAACAAGCACTCCTAGAAGCCAACACCCCGCCTCCCAAGTTAGCTCAAACAATGTTGGGAGTAGGTACAACAAGACTGTGGGGGACGACTCTAGAAGGAGTGGAGCTTCCTCTTCATCAAGTAAGGGAAGCACATCAACCTTCTCAACGGGGAACAGACCCCTAACATGCATCCTCTGTCGGGGCCATCACAAGTGGTTAGAATGCCGTCATAAGGGAGAAATCGATAGTCTCCAAAAGAAGTTATCGGCGATGACGGTGGAGTCAAAACAGACCGAAGAAGCATGCGAGGTAGAGCCCGATGAGGAAGAGCCCTCAATGGGTGCGGTGCACATGTTGTACGCCATGGGAAAGGAAGAGCCCGAGGAGAGGTCCAAAAACACTGAGTTGATGTATATAGAAGTGTTGGTGAATGGGAGGAGGGGCAATGCGATGATTGACACCGGGGCCACCCATAACTTCATATCCCAAGGAGAAGCTCGAAGATTGGGGCTGAAGCCGATTCAAGAAGGGGGTAGTATGAAAGCTGTTAACTCAGCCGCCAAGCCAGTTCATGGGGTTGCAAGGAACATCCCAACAAAGCTGGGGGACTGGAGCGGAAACCTGGATTTCACTGTAGCCACCATGGATGACTTTAACCTTGTACTCGGTATGGACTTCCTACGTGCAAGTAAAGTTGTCCCGATGCCCCACCTGGGGTCAGTATTAGTAGCTGGACAACAGCCTTGCCTCCTCAAGACTTGCAAGATGAGAAAAGGGTCTAAAGGCCCCCTCCTTTCAGCAATGCAACTAAAAAAGGGGTTGAAAAGGAACGAACCCACATTCCTTGCTACTCTATCAGTGAAAGAAGATGAAACCCCTCATGAAATCCCCGCAGCTTTAGATAAGCTTCTCACAGAATTTGAGGACCTCCTCCCCAAGGAGCTCCCAAAGGTGCTTCCTCCTAGGAGGGCTGTGGATCACGAGATTGAACTTGTTCCTGGTTCGAGGCCCCCTGCTCGAAGCCCTTACCGTATGGCCCCTCCCGAGCTAGCGGAACTTAGAAAGCAACTGGAAGACTTACTAGAGTCAGGATTCATCCGCCCCTCGAAAGCTCCTTATGGAGCTCCCGTGCTCTTCCAGAAGAAACAAGATAGGAGCCTCCGATTGTGCATAGACTACCGAGCCCTCAACAAGGTCACAGTGCGGAATCATTACCCCATTCCGTTGGTGGCGGACTTGTTCGATCAACTAGGGGATGCAGTGTTCTTCACGAAGTTGGATCTGAAATCTGGCTACCACCAGGTTCGCATTGCTCAAGGAGATGAACCGAAGACCGCATGTGTGACGAGATATGGAGCATTTGAGTGGCTAGTTATGCCGTTTGGGTTGACCAATGCCCCCGCAACCTTCTGCACCTTGATGAATCAGGTGTTCCACGAATTTCTCGACAAATTTGTAGTGGTGTACCTGGATGACATTGTAATTTATAGCAAGACCTTTGAAGAACACCTCGACCACTTGAGAAAGGTGTTTGAGAAGCTGCGAAAACATCATCTGTTCGTCAAGCGAGAAAAATGTGCTTTCGCCCAAGAAGAAGTTGGGTTCTTGGGACACTTTGTAGGTAAAGGCCGCATAAGGATGGATCCAAAGAAGATACAAGCAATTCAGGATTGGAAAGATCCAAGGAACACTTCCGAGCTTCGGTCCTTTCTAGGCTTGGCAAATTATTACCGTAGATTTATCAAGGGATACTCCGAGTTAGCCAGTCCCCTCACCGACCTCTTGCAGAAGGATCGTCGTTGGGAATGGTCAGAGAAACAGCAAAAAGCTTTTCAGAAATTGAAAGATTCAGTAGTGAGAGAGTCAGTCCTCGCTCTCCCTAACCCCAACAAACCCTTTGAAGTAGAGACAGACGCTTTCGATTTTGCCTTGGGAGGAGTATTACTCCAAGATGGCCATCCCATCGCATTCGAGAGTCGGAAGTTGAATAGTGCGGAAAGGAAGTACGCAGCACAAGAGAAGGAACTCCTAGCTATTGTGCACTGCCTTAGGGGCTGGAGACATTACTTGTTGGGCTCGAAGTTCATCGTCCGCACCGACAATACTGCTGCAACCCACTTTCTCTCTCAGCCTAAGTTGACGGGAAGACAGGCTCGATGGCAAGAATCCTTAGCTGAGTTCGATGTAGAGTTTGCATACAGAACAGGGGCTAGCAACAAGGTAGCAGATGCGAGCAGACCTGGCACCCCTACAAAGATTAGCCCCTTTAACTTCAAGCAACGTCGCTACCTCTGTGCGTGATCAAGTCAAAGCTTACTTAGGAGATGATCCGATGACAGGAACCATCAAGAAACTGATTGAAGAAGGGAAAACTAGACGTTTCTGGATGGAAGACGGACTCGTCTACACAAAAGGAAAGAAACTCTTCATCCCTAGAGCAGGTGGTTTGAGAAAGATGCTCTTGAGGGAATGCCACGACACGCTATGGGCAGGTCATCCGGGTTGGCAAAGGACACTCAGCTTACTGAGCACAGGATACTATTGGCCGGGGATGAAAGAGGACGTGATGAACTACACAAGAACTTGTCTGGTGTGTCAACAAGACAAGGTTGACCGACAGAAATCCGGAGGGCTCCTTGAACCGTTATCAATCCCTACTCGCCCTTGGGAGAGTGTATCCATGGACTTCATCAGTGGCCTCCCAAAGGTGGACCAGCTCTCCGCAATAATGGTGGTTGTAGATAGATTCTCAAAATATGCTACCTTCGTTCCAATGCAAAAGGCATGTGGTGCTGAAGAAACTGCCTCATTATTTTTCAAGCACGTTGTGAAGTATTGGGGACTCCCCAAGAGTATAGTGAGCGACGGAGACACGAGATTCACAAGCATATTCTGGTCAGAGTTGTTTCGGATGATGGGGTCAGAACTCAATATGTCATCAAGTCATCATCCACAATCAGATGGGCAGACGGAGAGATTCAATGGGTTACTTGAAGAATATTTGCGCCACTTCGTCAGTGCCAATCAGAAGGATTGGGCGAGACTCCTCGATGTAGCTCAACTTTGTTTCAACGCCCAAAAGAGCTCCTCATCAAACAAGAGCCCTTTCGAGCTGACCATGGGCCAACAACCTCTCTTGCCTCACACAGTAGCAGACACCGAGGCCGGACGAAGTACTCAAGCTCGAGAATTCAAAAGGGAGTGGGAGCAAAACACAGAGATTGCTCGGGCCTACTTGGAGCGAGCAGCTAGGAGAATGAAGAAGTGGGCTGATCAAAACAGAAGACCGTTGGAGTTTGATGTTGGAGATATGGTGATGGTGAAAGTGTTACCCGAACAACTGAAGTTCTTGAGAGGAAGAGATCGAAGATTGATCAGAAAATACGAAGGCCCCATCCGCATCATAAAACGGATAGGGAAGAATGCGTACAAGGTCGAACCTCCAGCATGGATGAAGATACACCCAGTCTTCCACGTCAGCCGCCTCAAGTCCTACCACCCAGATCAAGAAGACTCAAGCCGCAACATCAGCAACCGAGCCAGCACAGGAGCAGACAGCGCAGCACCTCTTCAGCAGAGACCTAGGGATCAAGAACTTTAGTCTCCTTAGTCATATTTTGTACGTCGACGAGGACGTCGACAGCTTAAGTGGGGGAGGATGTTAGGATCCAACCTCTTTCATCATGCATTTTGCTTTCTTATGTCTTTACTTAGTTTATGTTAGACTTTCAATGTATTCGTGTAAGTAGTTTAGGCGCTAGAGGAGATTATTGTGTTACTGTCATTTCAGTGTTCACTAGTATTTCTCCATGTAAACAATATAAAGCTCTATATGGAGCGATGCTTGAATGAATGAAAAAGCTTCTATTCGGGTTGCCTTGCTTTAAGACTTGTGTGTTGATTTAAGCCTTTATAGATATTGTGCTTGCCTTGTTTTAAAGCTCCCCACCGAACCAAGAGACTCTCAAAGACGCCTACATCCTTGTCGGTTCCGCTTGTGCCCGCTTCGAAGTATCGGCCGTCACAAGCCCCGACCCTGCACTCGTTACTAACGATTGCCTCATTGAGATACCTTTGGTCCGTGTTGCTGTGTGCCCACGAACCTCTCTCACTCTAGGCTTGCGTTCTTGTTTCTAAAAGATAAGAGCGCGCCGCACGATCCGTTGTCAAACCACTCGGACCGTGACACCTAGTCACCAACTATACTTCCTCCGTTCTAGTAATATTGCAACAATTGGACTTTTGCACTATTCATCATGCTTGTTTGACCACAAATTATGATTTATACGTAAAGTAAAATATAGTCATGTGAGGTCTTGTTAAATTCGTCTCGTAAAATACTTTAACAATATCAACTTTTTATAATTTTTACTCTTTTATAATTATAAATATTTAACATATAAAATGTGTTTTGTGGAACAGAGGAAGTATAACGTAGAAACTTCGACGAAGCAAGCGAACAACGTGTTCTGTACCGGAATACCAATCACTGGTACATGTTGGTTGCGAGGAAAATTTTTCAAAATTGTCAGTCTTTTTTCATGTCTGTATCATATCATTATCCAATTCCATAAAATAGCTAGTAACAGTTACTCATTACCTAAGATTTGAGTAATTTACGGTTTCAACCCATATATAGATCACCACTTCTAAAAATTACCAGTAAATACCACTCATCAAGCTAACAATAATTCATTAGTTCAAATCTTAATTTCCAGTTACCCACATACTAAAGATAACATCTTTCTCCTTCCAATTCACACAATTTCTAATTAATTGCATCACTGTCAAAATTAAATTAAATCCACATTCATCTCCACAATATTATCCATACAATATGAATCCATAAAACTTTACTAAATAAAATAGAATTAATTATCTAAGAAATAAGGAGGGTAACTTACAGAATTCCATTTGTTCTTCCATTTTTCATTGAAAATTGGTGTTGAATGGAAAGAAGCAAATTGGGTTGATGAAAAGTTAAGCAAATTCCGCAAAGTTAATAAGCTGCGGCATCTGGGCAGCGCCTGCATTGGTGAAAATTCTGTTCTTTTTCAATGGAGTATCAATTAATTAAAGAATCGATGAAAAAAATTGAGATTTTTTTCTGCAATCCTGCTTGGATAAATCAATATTCAGACTTCAGAGTATGAAATTGGGAAATTTTTTTTGCTTAGGCCATCTTTAGGTCTTTGGGAGTTTAGTTGCCTTGATTCAGGCTTTCGTTGCCTTGATTCAGGCTTTCGTGTTGCGCAGTTTTTTTGGTTTGGGTTAGCCCAATTGGGTCGTCTTCTGTTAAGCTTTGTGTCAAATTCACTTGCCTTGGGGATTTACTAGGCCCAGATCACAGCTCAATTCACCAGATATAGCTCGTTACGGTTCAAGTTAACGCCGTAACTTTTTCTAAAATAAAACTAAAGAAATATTTTTAAAAAATTCTGGCACGATTCCCAACGCGTTGTATTTAATACAATACCAATATTCATCACCTTCATCTTCTTCATCCTCGATCACCCACCCTCCAACGACATGTCTCCAAGATTCATAATCCTAAGTAAAAAGGGAGAAACTAAGGGCAAGGTCAACCCCAAAGGGTAGGGGTGACATTTTCCTCCATTAAAGCTTTCTCCCTGAGCTTGAATTTCTGTATTGAAGTTTTTGAAATTCCCAGTGAAACTATCGAATCCAATTTTCTCCATTAACAGCTTTCCTCAATCTCAACGGTGTTAACTTTTGAAATTACAAATTTATCCGTACTTAAATACGTGAATAAACAATTGTACCCTTAGATAAACGCTTCAAGTTAATTTATCATGAAGATAAACTCGTATTTTCTCAAGTTTTACACCAGGTGTATTGTCTTGCCACTTAGATATGTCACATCTCACATGTCATGCTTTCTTTTGCAAACAAGTAATCAAAATGTAGTGAATGAAATGAATCAAACATATACTAGATATGTAATAACTTGAGAAATTGCCCGTCTTAAATAATAGCGATCTATTAAATGTGTAAGAGTGTGAGACTCCATAAAAAAAGAATAATGATACCATTTTATTGAAAAGCATAACATTACACGTCATGATACGATCACACAGGATTTGAATTATGCTTGTATAGTTGTAGTGTGACACGAACCGTAACGAGCTATATCTAGTGAGTTGAGCTGTGATCCGGGCCTAGTAAATCCCAAGGCAAGTGAACTTGGCACGAGGCTTAACGCAAGATGACCCAATTGGGCTAACCCAAAACCAAAAAAAAAAAAAAAAAAAAAAAAAAAAAAAAAAAAAAAAAAAAAAACCTGCGCAACACAAAAGCCTGAATCAAGGCAACCAAACTCCCAAAGACCTAAAGATAACCTAAGCAAAAAAATTCTCAATTTCATACTCTGAACATTGATTTATCCAAGCAAGATTGCAGGAAAAAAAAAAGTCACAATTTTTTTCATCAATTCTTTAATTAATTGATACTCCATTGAAAAAGAACATAATTTTCACCAATGCAGGCGCTATTGGGGGAGGAAGAAGATGGGTGGAGGATATGAAGGTGATGAATCTTAGAGTTAACGTCGTCTATAGTTAAATTTAAAGCTGATAAAATAAAACTAAAGAAGATTATTTTTTAAAAAAATTTGGCACGATTCCCAATGCGTTATATTTACTATAATGCCATTAGATAAACGACCCATGTTTATCATGAAGAGAAAATGGGGCGTCCTCGTAAAACTTAAAGTTGTATGTTCGAATCTAGTATAAATTTATAAACCACACTTGAAATTCTTGAATGTTAGTAGATGACAAGGAATGAGAAACAAAAGAAATTAATAACATTACTTCCTTTAGTTTTCAATGAGATAGCTCCCGTCAAAAAAAAAAAATGGATAGCTTCTTTTTTCTAGGTAAGGAGAAGGCATTTCATACATCAAACTAAAACCTCTCACTAGTCAATCTGGTTTTACTTAATTTTAAATGGCTTGGCTATTTATTTGGAAGAAAAATGGAACTTGGGATCTCCATATTTGCTTTTTAGGAAGGGATTAAAATGATCGGAAGATTTGATTAGGATTGGAAATTCATGTCTATTATCATGTTTATTACACTTGGTACACAAAGAGGATAAAAATAAGGTCAGGCGAGAAGTGGGATAAGGAGTAAAATTGACTACAGTAGAAAAGGAGAAAAGGTTTGTTGCTGACAATATTTTTATAATCTTGTTACTCCGTATTTATTTATAATTTACTCTTACCACGTACCAAATAAGGCCGTGTAAAAAAAAAAAAAAAAAAAATACGAAGTAATAAATTATCAAATTACCAATCACCAATTTCCACTTTTTATCAACTTCCAAACGACCAAAATTATGTAACAGGAAATTACAAGTATATATACTACATACGTATATATAAACTAGAATAATCCATAATACTTTGTACTTGATGGTTGACGATGAGGTTTGATTCCATGTCCAATTAACATCATAATGAAGAAACTAACCAATGTACCACTCCTAATAAAATACAGACAATTTTGCATAGTAGGCCAAATAATTAAAAATCAAAAACAAATCCTAAGCTATCACATTCATTATGTCCATTTCTAACCAGCTGATAATCTGTTACAAGGACTTAGCTTACAACAGATACAGATATTACAAATTTAATACTAGTATATCATTATCCTTAGTTTATAATAGTCTTGATAGATTCTTACAAATACCAAATATTGAAAAGAAATCAAATCCATTGAATTTATAATATTATTGCCAAGTGTTACAATAGCTCAAAAAGAATATCCAAACAAATTAATACGAATTAGTACTTTATTAGTTTGGCATCCCTCCACAACTCTATCATGTCAAAAATCATACACAATTTTAATAATTACGAAAATATAATTTAAATAATTGTACTTTTTTTTTTCAGAAAATAATAGAGGGAGTACATTACTCAAAGGACTTGCCCCCACGATGATAAAGAAATGGTGATGCATCACCTAAATTACCAAACTTTTTATTTTGGAATTAGTGGGGCCAAATTAATTGAATTAATATATTTTGTAAAAATGAACATGAATATAATTGGCTACCCAATAACATCATGAGTTCTTGGATTAAATACATGTCACAATATCATATGGAAGAATATAATGTATTATGTTGGTGCTTCTACTATTAATATTCTAATTACACCTAATTGGAATTGTTAGCCAATAACTAGATCATGGAAGTTGTGATGTTTTTGGAATGGAGCACATAGTTTTGTTTTCTAACACAAATCCTTGAACATAAAGGAATAGGAAAACATTCTGTTACTACATAAAAATGATGTTGAAGATTAGTTTTGTTTTGGAGCAAATAATGGGAATCATGATTGGCATTTCAATTGTGATATATAATAGGGTGATTAAGTTAGACAGTCATGACAGTCACTTACACAAAGATTAAAACTAACATTCTTAAGGGGTGTTTTTGAAAAATTACATAATTTTGATGTCTACTTAGGTGAGGTTTTAAGATTTAGAGATTAATAGTGTTAAGTTTAGTATTTTATACTGCGTTTTTCTGGTTGGAGATTGTTATGAGTATATGATGAAATTCTAATTAGATTATTTCAACAACATGATGAAATCATTAGGGCTGAGTTACAATAATAACACAAGTGGTAGATAAAATGTAATATATTAGGTCCTTTTTACATCCTCTCTCTTGCTCTTTTTGCAATAAATACTTCTCTAAAATACTTGTGATCGATTAGTCACACAATTTTAAAGGAAATTTTTTGATTAGTCATTGCAACAATTCTAAGGGTTAAGTTTAAGCCCGTTTTAATAACCTTAAAATGAATAGGTGAAAGAGAAATAGAAAAATAAATAAATTAAAGAGTTGATGTCAATCAATAATAAATGAGGATTTGGATTTATGATGAACAATCAAGAAGAAAAAAAATGAAAAGAGTTATAGTCAATCAAGGACAAATTGAAGGAGCTTTTGTCAATCAAGGATGACACCTTCTCATTGCACGTGTAAACTTGACTAACATTAGAGGCACCCAAGATAAGCGAGAGATTATACACATAGACTTAGTCTATGTGTATCCCCACATAGACATCCAATATTATTTTGACAACTCATCCTTCATCAAAAACATAAGAGAGGAAGTTAAGAGCGGTAAAATTTTAATAAAGTCCGCCATTATTGTAGAAAAAAGAGGGATATTCCCTTGAAAATGACAATAGTATTTACATTTCATCCAGAATAAGGACTTGTTTAGTTTACATTGTTTTTGCTTATTTAATCTGTCCTGAACTTATCTGGTTTAATCTGGTTGTTTGATTTAACCAAACTTTGACCTTATGTCTACAATAATCTATAAACACAACTAAAAATGATGGTTTTTACAACCGTCTCAACCGGTCGCTGAAAATAGCAAAAACGGTCGTTGAAAATAATTGCGACCGTTAACGGTCGTAATAGTGTGGTCGTTATTCACTTGGTCGCAAAAAGAAATTATTACGACTGGTTGATGGTCGCAATAAATTTGCGACCGTTTTATTTATTTTCAACGTCTGGTACTAAAACGATCGCAAATATTATTGATTGCAACCGTTATTGTACCGGTCGCAAATATGGACATTTGTGACGGCCATAGGCAGTTGCTAATTGTTTTTAACAATAAAAAATAAATAGTAAAAAAAAAAACAGAATCAAACGCAACCAGCAGCCACTTCCCACTAGCATGCATACTTTTACACCCTAAACCACCTTACCCACCACCGCCGTTGCCATCCCTAAGTAACCTCTACACACCACCACCGCCCTCCCTAAACAACATAAACCACCTAACCCACCACCACCGCCCTCGGCTCCCTAAACAACCTCTACCCACCACCACCGCCCTCCCTAAACAACCTCTACCCACCACCACCGCCAACCCTAAACTACCCTTAACCCAAAAAACCCACCAAAATTAAACCCACCAAACATATGAATTTATCAAAACGAAAAAAAAAAAAAAAAAAAACCACAAAACTAAATCAACAAAACTGCCCACTATAATCAAACCCAAAATCGAAATTAAATAAATCAAACACAAATTAAAAACGAAATCAAACCCAAAATTAACATAAATCTAAACAAAAATTAAACCCAAAATTAACAAAAAAAAAAAAAAAAATCAAAACGGTTTTCAAACCCAAACAGAAAAAATAAAATAAAAATCAAGCACTACTAGAAAAAGGTCAATTTCCGACGGATGTGTTCCGACGGACACGAAAATCCATCGGAAAACACTTAGTTTCCCACGGATTTTCCGTCAAAAAATAATTAATTTCTGACGGAATTTAAACCCTTTCCGACAAAATTATGGTTTTTTTTTTAAAAAAAAAAAAAAAAAAACCAAACCCTAATTAAAACGGAACTATCCGCCTCCCCCTTTCATTTCTCATTTCTCTGTCCTCTCCTCTTCTCTCTCTTCGCCTCTCTTTTGTTTCTCTCCCCTCTCTTCTTCTCTTTCTCTCTCCTTACCTATCCTATCCTGTCCTCTCCTCTTTCCTCTTCTCTTTCTCTCTCCTCTCCTCTTTCCTCTTCTCTTTTCACGCCCCTTCCCTTCTCTGATTTTTTCTTACGCCCCTCTCCTCTTCTTCTCCGTGTCATGATTTTATCAACTAAATGGGACTAAGCTAGCTAGGAGATAAGCGTTTGTAATCAATAATGGTGATGGTTTATAACACATTAATGGTTTTTAAGGTCAAATTCGACCATGAAAATGCTAGATTTAGAGTTTTCAAGGTCGAATTTGGCCTTAGTAAACCAAGTTCAAGGTGAAATTCGAAGCTAATTCGATTTTTAAGATACGTTTTAATTTTTTTAATTTTTGTTTTTGAATTTTATATTAAATTTTTGGGTTGTGGTGGTTGGTTTGGCCGTTCATGATGATGGTTTTAGGTGGGTCGGATTGGGTGTGGGTTCAGTCAAGGTTTGCGTTAGGATTTGGGTGGATCTGGGTTTGGGTTTAGTGGGTCTGGGTTAGGTGGGTTTAGGGTAGGGGTGGGGATATATAGTTTAGATCTGGGCTAGGTGGGTTTAGGATTTGGGAGGATCTGGGTAAGGGTTCGGTCAGGGTTTGGGTTAGGTGGGTCTAGGTTAGGGTGCGGTGGTGGTGGTTGGTGGATCTAGGTTAGTTTTCGGTTAGAGTTCGGTGGTGGTGGTTGGTGAATCTGGGTTAGGGTTCGGTTGTGGTGGCTGATTTGGGTGGGTCAGGGTTTGGGTGGGTGGATCTTGGTTAATTTGTGGAGTGGCGGTCTGATGTTAGTCTGGGTAAGGGTTCGATGATGGTGTTCTGAGGTGGTGATACGCCATGCAGGTGGTGGCGCGGCATTTTTTTTTTTTTAATTTCATTAAATCAGTTTCCGACGGAATTTCTGTCGAAAATTTCCGACGGACTTTTTTCGGTGCCGGAATTCCTCTTCCGACGAAACAATTCTGACGGAATTTCCGTTGGAAAAGGTCATTTTTCCTACAAAACATTTTCCGACAACCGGTTCCAACAGAAATTCCGTCGGAAACGGGTTTTCTAACGGAATTCAGGGTGTTTCCGACGGAATTTTTCCGTCGAAAATGGCGTATTTTCTAGTAGTGAAGTAAATCAACATTTGAACATGGAAATTCGAATAAAAAATCAAACTAAATTCGAACAAAAAATTACAAACACGAAAACATACCTCAAACCCCGAATTGACTTCGAATTTGGTTTAATAAGGCCAAATTCGACCATGAAAACTCTAGATCTAGATTAACTTGACCTTAAAAACCATTAACTTGCTTAACACCACCACCTAAGCATCGAACCAAGAGAATTAGGACCGTGCGTGAGATTTGCCAGATTCACTAACAACATCGAAGTTGCCGGAAAACTTCCAAAAAGTAGATCAGAAGAGGAAAGAGAACGAGAGGGAGAAGAGGAAAGAGAATAAGAGGGAGAAGAGGAAAGAGAAAAAGAAAGGAGAGGCGGAAAAGCAGAGGAAGAGAAGGAAAAGAGGAAAGAGAAAAGAAAGAAAGGAAAGAAAAGAGAGCAGATGAGGGAGGAGGAGAAGCGTGAGAAGAGAGAGAAAGGAAAAAGAAGAGAGAGAAAGGAAAGAGGAGAGATGGAGCGGCGGTTCAACAAGATTAGGGTTTGGGTGAGTTCGACACTCCTTTTATACCTTTTTTTTTAAAAAAAAATAATAATAACCCTGTTGCGACCGCTTTTACCGGGCGCCAATTGCGACCATTTCTGTAACGGTCGCAATGGTCGCAATTTGCGACTGCTTAAATAGCCCAAAAACAGTCGCAAATCTGCGACCGCTTTAAAAACGGTCGTAAAATTGAGACCGCTTTAAAAATGGTCATAAAATTGCGCCTGCGCCAAAATCGGTCGCAAATTTTATATTTTGTGACCGTTTTAATGACGGTCGTAAAAAAAATGGTCGCAATTTGATCGAATTTCAGTAGTGAAAGAAAAAATATATCAACTTGGCTCTTGTTAGATTCATAATAACTGAAAAGTGGTACGGTTAATGGGGTGGTTGTGAGAGTAAAGGTGTTGACCCGTATGTCCAAAAATAGAATGGGGCAAAATTAAAGGGACGAACGCAAACTAAAAAGGAAATTGGAGAAGAAACTAAGGGACAAAGGGAGTATTTTCTAAATATATAATGTTCATAATTACATCAAAGATATTTAGCGATGAAAACTACACATAAAACAATAAAGTATGTCAAAACTTATTTTTTCTGGTTTGATCTGATATGAAAAAAGTAAAAATAAGGTGAACAAAACATGCTCTAAATTAAGGGAGTCAAATTGACGCATAAAGAAATGAAGTTAAAATTATGGGATTGAGTATATCATTAAATTATTAGTTATTAGTTCATTACCTTAGCCCATTTGTACTTTGGGCTGAATAAATCTACTAATTGTTTAATTTAATTTACTAAAAATTTGCCAATTGTAGCCATTTAAACTTTATATTTTACAAATTGTAGCCATTTAAAAAAAAAAAAAATTGCAAATTGCAGCCGAAAAGTACTAATAACTTGTTAATTGCAACCCATTCCAATTTATTCATCGACTTGCGTGCCGAAAAATGTTTCGTCAAGGTTATAGGGGTCAGTTTGGTCCGTAAGGTTCTAAGTTAAGCTCGAAATTGGCAAAAAATTAACGCAAGTGCCTCGTACTATGCGTATCAAAAAAATGTATTGATTTGTGTGCAAATATTTTTTTGCCTAAAAAATGAGGCACTTACGTAATTTTTTTGCCAATTCCGAGCTTAATTTTGCCAATTCCGAGCTTAATTTGAATCTTTAAGACTAAAATGACCCCTAAAACCTTGACAGGACATTTTTCGGCACCCAGATCGAGGAAAAATTGGATCGGGTGGCAATTAACAAGTTATTAGTACCTTTGGACTACAATTTGCAATTTTTTTTTAATGACTGCATTTTGCAAAATATAACTTTAAATGGCTGCAATTGGCAAAATTTCCTCAAGTAAATAACAGATTAACAAGGATCTTCAACTAAAATTCGAATGTTAAGAGTTACCGTTATCAACTTCATAAGTTTTATCCCAAACCTAATAATTATATACCAAATTTATTTTAACAAGTATCATGAAAAAACATTTTTGATACTAAAAAAAAAATTAACAGGTAAAAAACTTTTAACCCATAGAAGATAAACCTCGCCATTTTTATGAAAAAATACAACTACTAAGCTTATAATAACCCCACCCCACCCCCAAATCAACGATTAATAAAATTTCATGTATGTCTTGAAGGTTTGAGTTTTCCCTTTTGCGTGTTCAAGCACTGCTCCTCATTAGAAGGATTGTGTAGCGACATCGAACGAAATTACTAAGCAGTGGTCGAAACTAAATATCATGTCGAAAGATGTTGATATTGTGGAACTGGGCGAATTCAATGAAGCGTATGAGAAACTTGTAAATTTGAAGCTTTAAAAAAACCTATAAATTTCCTTCGTATAAGAAACAGGGAAAATCCAATGCAATGAAGCCCATGAGAACTGTGCGAATCTCTCTTATAATTTTGAAGCTATACGAAAAAACAAAGAAAAAAAAAATTCAAATTTAAACTTTCAAAAGATTTTCAAACTGAAATTTTGTGAAAATTTTAGATTTTAATAAGTGGGACAACTATTTCAACCAATAGAAATGGTTGTCTATGTGGGGTATCCATAGACTTTATCTATGTGTACCCTTTCCGAAGATAAGCCGGTGAATATCAACTTCCCTAGAAAAAGTTTACAAATATTCTTTAAACCAATTTATTTAAAATAAGATTATTTGGGAAATGAAAAGACATGAAAGCTCTTTTAATAGAAATTTTTAGCAATATTTTACTTTTCACTAGAAGCGTAAGATATATATATTGATAATAGTTTATGTTAAGGAGAATCGAGTCGTGATCAGTGATAAACATGTAACGTGGCTAAGCTGTATTGAGATCATTATTGTGTTCAACGAGTGTTGAAATCATCTACGTATGATACATGACATACGTCACACGTGTCTAATACTACCAGATACAAAACCTACACAAAATATTCATTCAACCTAGACTCTTAAATATCATATATCTACATCTTGATGATCCAAAACATATCGAGTATATATCCCTTAATACATGCTCTCTAGTCTAGAATTCAAAACAACTTTCTTATTAAAGTCATTTCTAGATTATTTCCATAACAATATAACAATAATTTTATAATTCCTAACCTAAATCAATAATAAAATGCCAGCAACAACGTATAAACACAATCAAAACTTATAAAATTTGCTATGCATAATAATGACATTTTTAGTAAACAAAAGATCACAAAACAAAAAAAATTCTACAGCCTGTGTCCAATTGGCTATTAGCATTACACCCTGTCCAATATAACATTCCAAAAAAAATAAAAAATATTTTTAAAAAAATTTGTAAAAATCATTTTTAATTTTAATTTTAATTTTAAAAAAGGAAGGCTTAGCTGGCCGTTGTCTATATATTTATAACCTTATTCAACGTCGCAGAATGATTGTCGGAGCAGCAAATAAAAATTCTAAAAATTTCTATAAATAAAAACTCTTAAAAAGTTTTTCATTTGAGTTGTTGCATTCTCTCTCTCCTATTATTTTGAGTTTTCCCAAAAGCCCTTCAATTTCTCCTCCTAACAAGAGTTTTTGTCGAAGCTTTTGAAGGGAAGAGAAAGGGGTAAAAAAGTAAATTCACAAAGAAAATGGGAAACTGCGCAAACAAGCCGTTGACAACAGAAGGAGAAGCCCCGGTTGAAGTACCGGAAACAAAGGCAACAACAACAACGGAGAGAGAAATTGAAGTTGATCAAAACAAGGTTTCATCTCTCGCTCAAATAATGTTAGAGGTCATTAATCATATATTTATGTACTATATTGTTGTTTTTCTAGCTTATTCATTTCGAGGTAACCATGTTTTATTTTTCCGACTCTCCGTATCTACAAGTCCTTCGTGTTTTGACTTTATTTATTTTTTTATTTTTTTATTTTTTTTAATGAGATAACACGAAGAACATATTAGAATGGATGGAGTAAGATTTTTAATTTGACATGCATGCATACAATTCTTTTTCAGCATATTTTTGGTTATTAATTTGAGTACATATTTAAAAGAATTTAGTATATTAATAAGAAATTTTTTAAAGTTAAGACGAGCTGTGATTTTATCTTAATAAATAAATTCTAAACTTAAGGTCATTTTACTTGTATATTATACTCTATATATTTATATGTGATTTATTTCTAAGGTACTGCGTATAAGTATATAACATGGATTTATTATATAGGTTTTTTTTTATGTGTTCCCCAATCCACGTATGGTCATATGGAATATAAATATTACATATACTTCATATTAGAATTTTTCATTGATATTAGAGTACTATTGTGGAAAATAATATTTGGAACGTCTCAAAAATTTCTAGTGGAAGCGTATATACATATTGCCTTTGTCCAAATATTCATGTCGTTTATATTCAAAAAAAAAAAAATATACATATATTGATTGTGTTTGATTGTGTATAATATAGTAATAGTAGCAAAAATATTTTAATGTTCGAACCATAATTTAAAATTTGTACAGTAATATAAATTCTTTTTAATTATTGATGAATTTTTTTTTTGGACTTTTATAATTTAGGTAATCAAATGTTTGTGCCTGGCCTCTAGTTTTTCTCCTTCATTTTTTTGCCCTATTTTTTCAAAAAAATACCATCCATGGTAAATTTGTCAAACAATTGGTTTTACTTAATTTGTCTCTATTTGTTCTTCCTTATATAGTACCTTTTTTTTATATCTAAAAAATTTCAAAATGAAGAAAAATAGAGACGAAGGGAGTAGAAACATTTATATTGTTATTTTTTGGATAAAATAAATGTGTTGGTAGGATCGTTATTTCTTAAAACAATATTTTCACTACGGTCATATTTGCAAAAGAAATATTTTGGTAGTCTGTTAAAATATGCCTGTAGTAAAAAAGAAATTTTTTAGACTTTTTTAAAAAATAATCCTACCAAAATGTATATTTTACCACTCCATATTTTTTTTTTTTTTTTTTGTATTTTATCAAAAAGCTAAATTTAGAAAGCCTAATTCGTAAATCAACTCAAAGGTCACAATTGACGGAATCCGAACTTGAAAATTACGTGATCAATATTTTTGAATTACACATTTGACAAGTCTTCTAGTTTAGTTCATTTTCAGATGACATAATTTTGACATGTTTTGTTAGTTTTACAATTTGAGAACGTAATTGTAGATGTTGATTAACTTGACAACGTTGATAGACGACAATGATACAATACAATACAAACAAATTAACGATAAAATGTTATCATCAATAATTATTATACCATCAATTTTAGAAAATGTCATGGACTATTAACAGCAACTACAACAAAAAGAGAAAAAATTTAATGGCACAGAAAAAAGAGAAAGAAAAAAAAAACTTTTATTATTAAATCCATGATTTGAAAATTTCAAGTAAAAGTTAGAAAGTAAAACTTTGTAAGCTAGGGTAGAAACTATACCATTCCGTAAGACATAAAATTTTCACCCTCTATGATTTAGTCGATCAAACATATTCATCTTTCAACTTTCGAGTATATTATGTGCTATAATTAGCTCTTATTATTTAGTGACACGTAATTTGGGAGTATGTCGTGATCATGTATTCGTGTATGCCTAATAAAATGCCGTTTAAAACTAAAATTGCGCAAGCTAAGACCGCGACATTTTCTTGAGGGTATCTTTTTCTTATAACTACATACTAAAGGGTATACTAAAGGGTTCAAAACGAGGAATCTTGTCCTTAAATCCCATTAATTACTTGTTAAAAACATTATAATTGTCAATTTTGAGTGTTGTCCTTTCTTTCACAGCTGTTTTTGGGACCCAAATACTCAGTCCATCTTTTCTTTATGTGGTCATGTTGATTGCTGAGGGAAAAAACACCCAAATATGTCTGATTTGCCTCCTGTTTATTTGCTCTTACCTTTATGTCTTTGTATTCCTTGCAACATTAGTTTGTCTTCTTAAAGTGTTTCTTCCACTCCATCCCTTGTTTTTTTTTCATTTTAATTCCGCATTTGCACATTTTTCACTTCTAACTTTGTCGTCCCTACATAGAAGTACGTATAATGTTTGTACAATACATACATACCAGTCATTTCTTGTCTATATTATTGTCCTTTTATAATATAATTCCATATATTAGTTATACATTATTGTCGTTGTATGATATAGAATGAAAAGGAAATAACCAAATGACTTTTTTGTTCATAAGAATTTTTCTACATGACCTATTGAATGTATTTGGACGAAGTTGTTGGATGAACATGCTTGCATGACAACATGACATTATTCATTTATTTTGTCATAAGTATTCAATGTTTGTTTATGATTGTGTTACATTATTAGTTTATTTGTCATAAGAACAATTTCTCATGAACTCTCTTTGCTTACAGGATGATGGAAAGAAGCCTGAAGCTGAGAGCGCCGTAAAGCCAGCTGAGGAGAAGGCCTCGGAGCCACCAAAGGTTGAGGAAGTAGCCAAAGAAGTGGCTGTTGAAACTAAGAAAGAAGAAGCTCCAAAGCCGGCTGCTGAGCCGAAGAAGGAAGAGGCTAAGCCAGCAGCCTCTGAGCCCAAGAAAGAAGAGACTAAGCCAGTTGTGGCTCCAGCTCCGGAGGCAGCCGCGGCTCCAGCTCCAGCAGCCACAGCTCCAGCTCCAGCTGCAGCCACGGCTCCGGCTCCAGCCACAGCTGAGAAGAAATGAGAGGCAAAATGAAGAAAATATTAAATGTTGATTTGCTGTTAAAAGAAATACTGAGCAAAAAAAAAATATTTATACAAAAGGAAAAAAAAAAAAAAAAAAAAAAAAGGAAGTGATAATGACAATAAGTTTGTGATTGGGTAGGACAAATTATTAATTGAAAATTTACATTAGTTTATATGGGATTTTGTTTAAATGAATATGTGAATGTATGGGGCCAATGGGGGAGTGTTTTGTGATTTATTTTTTTGTGTTGTTTTGTTAGGGGAGATTGAGTTTCATGAATTTATTATTTCTTTGTAAACATCTTGATATGTTGGATTGTTCATTAAAATTACTCTTATTTATTTATATTGTGTTAATCTTAAATACACTATTAAAAAAAAAAAAAAAAAAAAAAAAAAAAAAAAAAAAAAAAAAAAAACCTTAGATATAAGTATTTATATTACTACGTATTTAGGATTATTGCTAAAGGATATACTACCTTAAATCATATGGTGTTGTGATGTATATAGTTCGTTAAAATTAGGTAGAGTACAACAAATTAAGAGATCATCTTCACAAGATTAGTGTCTAGTCTTTTACTAGATAATGTCTTCACAAGATTAGCGTCTAATCCCTTAGAATATATTGTCTTCACAAGCTTAATGTATGCCATTATTATTGCCATGAGATCAATGATGCAATGTGTTACATAATTGAATTTGGAAGGGATAATTGCAAGGATTGATAAATAAACGTTTTTTTTTCTCCTCCTGCGTGTGTTACCTAGTAGTTATTTGGGAATACATAAATATGAAATCAACTTCAATCTTATAAACAATACCTTTAAATTTCCTCTTTGCTTGCAACTGTTTGACTGAACATGCTTGTCAATATACAATTTTGACCATAAATATATTTAATTTTGTATTAGTATAAATTATAAATTGTTGATATTATGGAACACATTACCCATTCATTTCAATTCTCAAAAAAAATTGGGATTTAAGGGCTTCCAATTCACAAAACAAAGATCATTATGCTTGAATCAGGCAACCAAATCTTAGAGCATTTTCTGATTGAATCGAAAACCCCTCAAAACGAAGATGACGAAGTGCGATTTGCGATAGACGGTGGACGAAGATGACGATGAACGATTTGCGATTTCAGTTCGCTTGGGCTGCGATTTCAGGTGGTGCATTTTGGTTGGAGGTGGTGTTTGGGCTGCGATTTTGGTTGGAGGTGGTGCGACTATGGGCAGCGATTTTGGTTGGAGGTGGTATTTGGGCTGCGATTTTGGTTGGAGGTAGTGCGATTATGGTTGGAGGTGGTGCGATTTTGGGGGTGCAATTGGGGGGCAGCGGTGGTGGCGGGTTGGGCGGCAATTATGGAGCAGCGGTGGTGGTTTGATGGTGGCTATTGGGCGACAGTTAAAGGAACTCCACATACTTCGTTTATTTGGGAATATGGAGATAATTGGGAAACTCCACACTCATTTGAAACAGAGAGAGAAAGAGCGGAAATGGGGGAAAGAGGAAAGAGAGAGAAATGAAAATATATTTTTATCTTATTAATCATATTAGCCAATAAATGAAATATATCAGCCATTAAAATGAACATATTAGCTAATTGATGTCTGATATCAGTCAAAATTAGGAACATATCAAACATTAATAAAAACGCATCAACCAACAAAAGGAATATATCAGCCAACAAAAGGAATATATCAGCCAACAAAAGGTACTCAGCCAACAAAAGGTACATATCATCCAACAAAAGGATGAAATCAGCAAACAAAAGCAACATGTAAGCCACCAAAATAAACATATCAGCCAACAAAATGAAACATATAAATCAACAATTACAATATACATATTAGCCAACAAAATAAAAATATCAGCCAATTAAAGAAACATATAAAGGTACATATAAAAGATTATAAAAAAAAAAAAAATATATCAGCCAACAAAAGGAATATATTAGCCAACAAATGAAACATATCAGCTAACAAGTGAAATATATCAGCCAAACCTGTCGCACGCAAATTTTCGTGCGGCAATTTACAATCAATACCTTCTCATTATGAAAATGTACGTTATTGCAATTAATTCAACAACATATTGCATAACACAATTTGTTTGTTAAAAATACAAGTCACATCTACTAAATAAATAGTAGAAAATATCAAAACGATTGCAACTTTAAAAAAAACAGATGGAGTATTTCTTAGTATTTTACGAGGAAGCCTAAGTTAATCACTGGGATAAACAAAAATTGTTTATCTCATGACAATTTGGTAAATAAATCAACAATTTTATCCAGTCATCATCACTGTGAGACCCGCTTTTATGAAAAAAGTTATTAATTTATTTACAAAAATGTCATATGATAAACAATTGTTGTGTATCTCATAGATGAACTTGTATTTACCCGTATTTTACCCTCATGAAATTTGTATACTATGAAGTTTTCCCGGGAGAAAATAAAAAAGTTTGCTTATTACATATGGTGGGCCTCTATCCTTGTTGGGCTTGCTACTGGCCCACTATCATATAGTAAGTTAACTTCCATCCATCAATTTGGACCCGAGACCTTGTACTTCTTCCTTCTTTGAGGCTCTTTCAAGTCATTTTATTTCTTAATTCTTGGTCAAAGTAAGATTAGATATGTTTAGGTTCTGTTTGGTTGATTTGATTTGATTTTGTCTAAAATTATTTTAACATATTTGAACTTAGTTTATTGAAATTTTTTTGACTTATTATTTCTGAAATACAATAAAATAAGTTAAAATAATATGAAACAAATAGATCCTTAGACGTGCCAGGCTATTAGTCAGCCATATGCCGGTCAAACCACTCATCGCAAAGGCCATCCCAAGCTAAGGGATAGCACAATGGCAAGGCATGGCCTACAAGTCTACCGCAATTGTTTCCGATTTTGTTTTTAAACAATAGTTTGACATGCCAAACCACGGGAATCCAATCGTGCTTTTCTCGTACCATGGCATGTTGGTCGATACAAAATGAGACCCTTATGCGTTATGAGTTTATGACAACCCTTCAAATTAAAGAGGCTTTTCGGCCTTGCATAACCGGCACTAGCACGGCCCTTGTCACAACTGTATGCAATGCAAGTATATGTGATCTTAATTTTATGCATTCAATCCCCTGAATCGAACACTAAATTTAATTTGAAAGTTGTATACGATTATATAGACCGTATAATGAGATTCACTCATATAAGAAGATTGTTGTATATACGTAGTATTTTGTATTTTTAATATTCTATTAGTAAGAAAAAAAATATGTACTCTATATTGGATGATCACATAACATTAAACTTCCTATAATAGGCATAGAATGAGATGAAAGAATTACATCATCTCTATGCATTGATTTGATGCTACCCTAATACAGTATATATACTTCATATTTAATTTCTTCTCAAAATATACTTGGTATAAGTGTAAGAAATCAGCAGCCAACATCAAAACTTGAGAGCTTTTGATGAATTTCTCCTTGGTCCTTATTAACACCTTCAAGTCTCAGGATCTGATGCTCTCTCAATTTCGAGTTATCTAACACATATAAATGGAATAATAAGAACAAAAAAGCTAAGGGACGGATTATGGAGTAAGAACAACAAAAAGAAACGGAGGTAGTATAACAATATGAAGGAAATTTGGGAATACCTGGCCTTCTTGCCTTACAAAACCTTTAATTAGATATATATACTTATACAATGGAGGGTGAATTCTTGGTTCCTTCTATTACTTTAAATTCCAGGCCTTCTTTATCTGCTTCAATAACGGTTGAACAAGTTGATGGAATGATAATTTGTTCTTTGCTCTTTGCCCACAAGAAACTGTAGAGCCCTCCAACTAGCAATATTCCACCTATGACACTGAAAATAAAACACATGTAAATACATATTTAGGCCTTGTTCTGTTCACTTTATATATTTTTTTTTAATTTTAAAATATGTATTTAAAAAATGTAAGTTCAAATAAGGATTATTAATGAGATAATATAATAAGTTTAAGTAAGATAATTTCTAACAAGCTAAGGGTTACCTAAATTCGCTTTACAACGAACTAAAATAGGTTCTTTCAAGATCTAATAAGCTCTGAAAAGTCGGAAAGTTCAAATATTTCAAATATGTGCAAATCATCTTCAAGTACCATAAGTAATTAATTAATCATTTAGCATATTAACTTGTTGGTTAGTTTGAGTAGAAAGATAAATAAATGAAATAAGTAGGAGTAAGACAATTAGTGTAGTCGTTTGAAATTAAATTTAGAGATATAAATGTAATTACATTGTAACACATCAAGATATAGATTCATTTGTAGATAAAGTAATTTTCATATTTATTCTTTCTTTTAATAAGGTAAAATTAATCGTGAGATAAATCTCCCCTAACTTTGGTGTAATTTTCTTTTCAAGATAATAAAATAAAATTGTTATGATCATTACATAGTACATAGTACAAGTACATTTAAAAAGAAGCTCAATATATAATTGATGTCTTGACTTTGCAATATTTGTCACGTTTAAATTTATGAAACTTGACACACCAAAAAAAAGAACACATTAAAGGTGATGGTTCAAATTTAGAGAACTTGACACTTGCCAATATATAGTGCATAAATAAGAAATTTAGGTAATAACCTGCCCAAAGTGATGATCTCTCCAAGCAGAAGAACAGAACAAAGCATGGTAAGGATAAGCCCTAAAGGAGTCCACAGTGCTAGAAATACTGGCCCCTTCTTCTCTATCACATATGCTTGTAAATAGTATGCCACTCCTGTTACCACTATCCCCTGTTTCAACAAAATTTAATGTATGTATGAGGGTTGTTTAAGATTAAAACGGAAATAAATATATAGTGCATGTGTCACATGACGTGACATTAAACTGATGACTGCATGTTACTTTGAATTTCGAAAGAATATTATTTTATTTTTTTTTGAAAAAGGCAAAATCTTGTATGAGCCGAACTTACAATAACTTATTGTAAGATCAGAGTCGTGACTTCATAGGTTTTAGTAACTTTGTCATATTTGATATATATGAAGTACTTGTTGATTTACATCCTTGATATGACAATATAAATGCTAAATACAGTTCCAATCCCCAGTATATGTTTTTTTTTTCCTGCTTTCTTTACGCACGATGAGTGATGGTTAGGAAGAATAGACGAAAAGAAAGAAGAGAGAAGTGTATTTAGTAACATACACAATAAGCAACGGCTAGAAGACGGACATTCCAACCAAGCATCCATTGAGAAGGACGACGTTCCACAAGAATAGCTATTGCAAATGACTGAATTGAACTCAAGAAGCAACTTAGTGCTGTGAACAAAAGCTTTGACGGGTAACCTTTCATGATTCGAGCCTATTTTATTTCATCCAAAAAAAAAAAAAAGAGTGAGTTATTAAACATCAAAATCATGCACATGAAAATAAATAGTAGCAAGTGACTTTACAACAGTATAATGCGCAAGGTACGATTTTTAACATTAGGACATGAGTAACACGATATGTATATGTATGAGTGAACATAAATCATTGTTGGTGGTGGGTTAGATTTTGTACCCTTTGTAACTGATTTGGGGGTACCCTACTTGAAATTGTAGTTACTTTAACTAATGTATATCTTTGAATTGTTGAGTACATCTTATCGGATGTGAAGATTTGACAAACATGTTAGTTTTGTAAATGTACGTCTGATTTACGATAATGTGATAAAGAACGATTATGTGATAAATAAGAGTATATGCACGACTGTAATACACACATGCATGAAAAATTCTGAACTTGACCATTTTGTCGGATATAGATTTTCCATTGGACTGTACGACTGTAACATATATAGATATTGAAAGTTTACTGATGAAATTTGTCGGATATAGATTGAATTATAATGTACGGAGTAAAATATCTCAATTTATTTGAAACTAATTACAAAACTTTGATTTTTAATAGTGATATGTCTCATTCGTATTTTCAAAATATCATCATTTCATAATATATATACATTAGAAACGAAACGTGTCAACAACATACGATAGTAGTAAGAAGATAGGTGAATTTACCTGGACAACAAGCCAAAGAGCCCAAAACGTGTTACCGGTGAGCAAGATAAAAACACCCTTAATCCAAGTGGGGCCGGAATGGGTTCGAGACTGTGGTGGTTGGTTGGCTGCTGGGTCGAGACCACCCAGCAAGTGAGGATGGCTAAACAGTTTGATGGAAGGACCCTTATAAAGTGCGAGAGTCATGGCACCTCCCAAGCATATTACCACGCCAATTAGCTTCGCTATCCCTGGGGCTGTCTTTATTTTCCATACCTCTAATCTGAAACAACACTATTAATCACTCATTAGAAAAAACGTTATATAACACATTATCAGCTCAGTTTTTTAACGTGTACATGTCAAACATTTAAGTATAGTAAGATTATTTATTTATTTTTATTATAGTAATTTTTTAAAAATCGAAGATGAGTCAATTTTACAAGTGTCCATAGACACACATTAGGAAAACAATGATACAATTATTTAACATAACGACGAGACCACAAGCACTCATTCCTCAATACTAAGATGGATGTTTCCCACTGTTAAATATATGGTCGTCCCATGATATGATTACAAACAATATAATTTGCACCCTGATTAATCGTTTTACCTAACCTTTTGCAAAAGCTAAGAGATTCCTTTTATTCTCCTTATTAATTAACCTATATATATGTACGTACTTCTAAACTGTACTAAAAGAAGTTTCAAATTGAAATGTAGCATAAAGTTAGGAATACTTAGATATTAAGCATCATTTGCACCATTTTCGATTGATATGCGACCTTATTAATTTTTATTTTCACAGTATTATTCTGTAGAATTTAGACTACTAGACTAATTTTAAGCATCATTATTATCTAAATTATCATTATTAATCATTACGTGTTGTTAAATCAGTTTAAGCTTAATTACTGCAATAAGTGTGTGAGACATCAGTTCTTATCCTAAACAAGTAAACAGCAAACTCAACTAATATAATCACTAGTGAAAACAGATTGCGAAATGGAGTGGAATGCACAGTACAAAACAAAACCAATTGGATTTACCTAATTGTCTTTCCTTCAATTCTAATTTGTTCTTTAGTGAGTCGTTCACTGTTTACCCTTTTTTAAAAAAAAACAAATAGAATTGCAAACGAATCAAGGCTAGACGATTTTTAGTCTGTTTAAGCTAGCTTTGATAGAAATTATTAGTGTTCGAGCTTAGCTCGTTAATAGCATAGGTTTTTTTGATGAGCTTAGTTCATGAACATGATCATTTGTGTAATTTGAGTTTTGATCTTGATCGAGCTTGAATGAGATTAGCTGAATTGGATTAAATAATAAACGAGCTTTGATGAGGGATTCTACATGCATCCACTTAAATGAATTCATGTTAATGTTTGTCGATTTTTCTATAGAAAAAAAAAAAAAAAAACTATGAACAATTTTTTGTGAGTATAAAAGCTTTGTTTCATGTAAAAATATTTCAATTTGACTGAGCTTGTTCACACCCCTATTTTTATAAGAGTACATAGTTGTGCTAATTGGCTTACAACAAATCACATACAATTAATGGAAATTATAAATGACTAATTATATATATATATAGCCGTCTAATTGTAATTAATTTGTAGGAGTCAAGTAACAACTGTTTTCTTAGCTTTCCGTACTTTGCATGGAATCTTCATTGACAAACTCGATCATTAATTAATTTAATTTAGGAAAATGCTATACACCACTAACCACACTTATCAATGGTATCACATCCTTATACAATGTGGTCATGAATTGATCAATGCATATATGATTGTCAATTTATACAGCAATTATTAGGATTTTCTGTTACTTCCACTTGAATAATGCTAGGCTTCTTGAATAATCATTTACTAGGTCTGGTTAATGTTGGGTGACTGTGAAACTTAAATGATTATGTTATTAGACCAGATACAGGTTTGGGTCGCATTCGTCAATAAGAGAGAATGAATTCAATATAAGGGGCTGCATTTCAAAATCATATGACAACAGTCTATTTTAACTTTATAAAAAGTTGATGAGACACTGATAGTTATTTGGAAAGACTATACTCAAACAAATTATGACGCTAATATGATGTAATTAAGGATGATAAAAAAATTAATGTTACTATATATATATATATATATATATATATATATATATATATATATATATATATATATATATATATATATATATATATATTTCATGTCCTCTTACTACCACTCTCCCCACCACTCTATTTAAGTAGGGTATGGTATGTTTGATATGTTACGTCTAGTTTTGAAAATATGACGATATTATAGTACAAGTGTATTATGCCTAAGCATGACTATATATATGTGCTATATTTATATGGAAGTCATTCAAGAAAAGAAAAAAAAAGTACTAATTAAGCCATGATACAGTATAATATAGTAACGTACGTACCTAACAAGAACAGCAAGGAAGAAAGTAATGACAGGAAGACAATTGGTTGTAGCAGCACCCATGGTTGCTGAAGTATAGGTCAAGCCAATGCCATACAAATCCAAACTCAATGTTATCCTGCAACATTATATGAAGTATCATTTACTACATATTAATACTAGTATGATACCAGGCGTATTCAAATCATATATATATATATATATATATATATATATATATATATATGTAGCATGTTAATTTCGAACTTACCCAAATAAAGACATTGCGAATATTTGCCAAAAATTCTTGAATGAGATCGGGGGTATATTTTTCCTACATTAGAAAAAATAGATAATAAGTCATCAACAATATATATTTCATGTTTCAAAAATTGAAACAAATAACAGTTTCATGATAGGTTGAATATTGAACAGTTGTGCATGATATAAAGGATATATTTTTGACTCCTAAGAATCCTAATGGTAGGATTTGAGCTTGTGATCATAGGTACGTGTAAATCTTCCCACTAGTCCAAGCAATAAACATATTATATAAACTTAATAAGTAACATACCTTTCGAGAAAGAGGGCTATGGGACCTAGAAAGATGGTGGCAATGGCCTGTCTGTAGAAGGTGAATATAAAATTATTCATGCCGACGTTGAATGCAGCCTTAGAGAGCAAGAGCATACCAGTATATAGGGTTTGTATGAAAAGCACAACAAGAATTGGTTTACTAAGTGCCATTTCAATAGTATTATTGATAGTTGATCAACTAAACAACTTATGACTGAGTTTGTATATATATTTTCTAGTGCTTGTAAAACACATCTATATATGAATGAATGATCGAGTTTGTGTGTGTATATATATACAAGTATCAATATATGTATGATAGTGTGATGAGAATGATATGACATGAGTGGTTAGTGAAGATACTTTAAAGGAAACAAAAGTGAAAGAAGAAACTAGTGAGTAAGGAAGAAATTAAACTAAGTAAAAATCTTTGGCATGTGGCCCAAATAAAAGTTTTTTTGTAGTGCTGTCTATGTAGGTTTAAGCAAAGCAAGAAATAAGGGGGGAAGTGAACAATAGGCCAACAACAAGATCGGAATCATTTTTGTTACATTATATATTTTTTTTTTCTCTCTCCTAACACAAAAGAAGGCGAAACAATCTCTTTATTAATTTATTATGTAATTCTTTATGTTTATTGATTTTATTTTTAATATAAGTAATTATATTATACTACTAATTTATAAAAAGAAAAGATATTATGCTCTAATTTGTCAACTTGTAAAAGGTCTAAGAGGCACTTATAAAAAGAATATGACAAAAATATTATATCTTTCTTATTGTGAATTCATTATATAATGTATTTATGTATGAGATTCGAATCAATCAGGAGTTATAACTTTTTTCAAGTTTTTCAATAAATTCTTGTGAGGGATTATTTTAATAAGAAATTAATTAAATTAGAAAGGTAACATAAATTACTCTACTTTGTAATATAATATCCTCTCATATGAGAATAAGTTCATAAACCTTTTATAATTAGGCTTTTTCTATCATGCTAAGGATGCAATAATGTAGAATTTGTTAATTGGTGGTTCTAATACTAACACAGTACAATCAAGTATTGCACTCCATCCTTGTTTCTTTATTTGTTGCAATTATATATTCACATTCACTAAATAAAATTCTAACTTATTTTAATTTAATTTGCCACATATACCACTTGGAGTGCAAATTTAGACATACACCATTTCTAGATGAATAATGTGGAAACTATTGGCGGTTCTATATATTGGTAATACATCTAAATACCTAATAATAAATCGTTTCACCCATTCTTGGAAATTGGAATCTGTGACCTATTTTACATATGCGTTTAGTTTTAATCACTGGGCTAAAACTCTATAAGTAAACCAAAAAGGTAGTGATCATTTGTTAGTTCTTACTTGATCTCCATGCCATGCAACATTGTAAGCTCTACAGTAGCAGAAATCGACAGGAATGTCTCAAGCTAATTTAGCCCCATATCAAAAGTTGGAGACTCAAAGAAATCCAAATTTTTCATACCAAGAGAAAGAGGAGAGAGATATGCTTTATTTTCTAAACATCAAATTAATCGCATACACAAATTGTGCGTTAATTGACCAACTTTCGGGGATAATGCATTTTACTTTCTTCTTTTCTTAATATCGTCAAGTTCTTTTCAAGTCAAAAAAGTAACAAAATTCCATGCTTTCTTTTTGAGTAAATTAACCATGATTAATTATTCTTGCCTCTTCTTCTTAAATTATTCCTCTTTATATATTATAAACTAAATTTGTAGATCTAACAAATTGTATGACTGGAGATGCCTTATAATGCAAGATCTACTTAACAATGATGAAAAAATAAAATTGTTGTTTGATTTAATTACATGTTGACTTCGTATTTATTAGCTTAAATATAACTTTTTGTAGATGTTTATATGAATTTTAATTATTAAAATTGGAATTACTTTATAAAAATTAATAAACAAATCCTAAATAAGCTTAATTTAAAGAATCAAGTTCTTTCAATATTCAAATTTGATGTGCATATTATATGCTCACAACTCACCTTTAAATTATGTTACTGCATGTAATATTAATAGAAAGATAATATAGTTAAATTAAAGGTCACAGCATATATACCTTCCTTTTTTTAGAAAATCAACGATTGGGCTATGTTAGTCTTGCATTCTTGCCAACCAACGTGACCTAAATCTAGCTAAACAAACTTTTTTTCATGCAGCTAGTTCCTTCGTCATCTAGAAATCTTGAATTTATGCATGTGATCGTTTAATTTTGTTTTGTTGTTGGGTTATTTAATTGAATGGACTTACATTCTATTCCAATTTTATTGGTTGTACAAAAATCGTATCTTATTGGCATAAGCTTGCACACATCAACTTAGTACTGCTACATTCACATGCAACATACATACTTTGCACAAACACTAGGTGTATTCATGTAGGTGGTCAATCAAACAATATATATATTGTATGCACGTATTAATAATAAACATCCATGTTATATGTAGTCATCTACTTGTACATATATATGCGACCTATAACGGATGTAAATATTTTATACGTATATAGGCGCAACACATAATATGTACTTTTTGGTACTTGTATACGTTGTTGATATTACTACTTTACGCTTTGATTTAACATAACTACTTTTTTTTAGTTTATTCATCATCTAACAAAAAAATTGGAATATTTATCATTACAAATGTTGAAGTTCTTTATCAATAGTTTAACTTGAGATTTTACACTATACTGAGACAAAAGGGGTATAGCCGTATAGTAAAAGCTAAAAGCTAGATACCAAAAGTGGACTAGATTACACACATTAGAGAGTGATTATGTACATACCAAATTTATACATATACAAGCCAGGGTGGAGCATTGCACATACTTTAAATACTTCAATCTGTATTTCTTTTTCTTTTTTCTTAATAATTAGCAAGTAGCGTAGCGAACCAAAAAAAAAAAGTTAGAAATAAATACTAAATACTCATAAATAATACGGAGTATAGGACTACAAATGCATTGTGGAATTATACTTTTATGCAATATCCATCTATGTATATTAAAGATCCAGCTATTTGGCATCATTCATCTATATAAGTAAATAAATTGTCTACAAGCCTTGAGACTGTCCTTTATCAATAAACCAGATATAGGTGATGTATTAATAATGGTTGTAATAATGTAGATTTGTCTCAATCTCATTGACATAATTTCACAATATAATATAATACTCCATCCGTAACTCTTAAAATAGATCATAAATACAAAAGGAAAGTGACAAGAATGCCCTAAAAATTGAAAACCAATTGATTAAGAGGCTAGAATTGATTTTTTTTTTTTTTTTTTGGGGGGTGGGGGGGGGGGGTAGGGGAGTTCTTGGCTAAGGAAGAAATTATTAATTTGCTTTTCTACACTTGTCAACTTTTAACAATTAGCTAGTAATCATGTTTATAAAGTAGATATGCCTTTCATAAAGAAGATTAACTCGTTTAATGAAATTATGCATGTCTACATCCATATAAAGAAGAAGAATATAGTATGAAATTTTGCAATGTTTGCATCCATACAAAGGAAGCTAAGGGCTATTTATCTAATCAATGATGGCACTCTATTTTCTATACAGTGACAATCGATCATTAATTCGACTCGAATATCACATGCTTTGCGCAATCATTTTCAAGGAAAAAAAAAAAACATAACTTCAATGTAAAATCATATGGTTTATTAATTTATTAAGGATAATTTGTAAATAACCACCCAATAATTGGTCCATTTTAAAAATAACCACCCAAATAAAATTTATTTTTATTTAACCACCCATTAAATTAAGTAATCACACAGATGACCACCCATTTCAAATTTTCGGTGGAATTTCCGTCAGTGGGCCCCACCCAACGGCTAGTAACGGCTATTTTTTTCTTTCTAATTCATTTCCTCCCCGATTTTTTCCCATAAAACACTTCCCCTCAATCAAATAGCAAATTCTTCTTCAATTTCTCCCAAAATCCCAGAAAAAAGACTTCCCCTAATTGCAGACGCATCCCCAAGGAATACAGTAGCTGAATTCACGACAGGTATTCTTATTTTTTTTTTAAAAAAATTAGGGTTCTTGGTGCACGGGGAAAATTGGGGGATTAATTAATTAGGGTTCTTGTTGTTCAAAGTACGAATTATTTGTGTTATTTCCACAATTAGGGTACTTGGTACTAATGAATTGGTGGGGTTTCTATGAGTGACTTTGATTGATTGTTTGTTGTTGGAATTGTTGTGGCAGCAATGGAGGAGAATAAGGTGGTTTTCAGATTTAAGTATTTGAGTGTTGTTATTTAAGTACTTGGGTTTCTATGAACACAAAGTTAGGGTTTATTGCAAAAATTAGGGTTTTAATTTTTAGAATTGTTGGTAATTTATGAACAAAGAGGGAGAACAAAGTAGATTAATGGATTTTTCAGAGAATTTATGAGGAAATTCAATGAGGAAGAGAGTGAAAGTGAGTTCAGCATCTTCAACAGAGAGGGAAGTCGAAATAGAACGAGAAAAAAAGGGAGGGAAATAAATTATGTGGGGCCCACTGGTGGAATTTGGAAATGGGTGGTCATCTGTGTGATTATTTAATTTAATGGGTGGTTAAATAAAAATAAATTTTATTTGGGTGGTTATTTTAAAAATGGACCTATTATTGGGTGGTTATTTATAAATTATCCATTTATTAAATAAGACTGATATTTAATCCTAGATTGCTTTTAATCAATCAGTAGTTTATCTAATTGTCTCACATTGAAAAAAAAAATAAAAACAAAATGACTAATATGTGGATTTAAGCTGAGATCAATGAAACTTTGTAAGGTTTAATTTGTAATAAGTCAAACTCTCTTCGGCCTCCGGCATGATCGTGTGAGTATATATAACCCCATAAACACTTGCATTGTCGTAATATATAATCATTCATTTTGGAGTAAATATCAAACTATTAATTACATAATGCATCTATAAAATCTTGTTTTTTATTAGACCTAAAGATCCTCGACACTATTTTTAGCTTGCTCGGATTATTATTCTTTAATTTGCACAAGCTTTTTACGCGGTTCAAACAAGATGACAAGCATAGATCTACATATAAGCTTATAGTCAGTCTTTTTGATGTGGTCAATCTTTTCATTTTCATTTTCATTTTTTTAATCAATAATGTCACCTCTTTTCAATCATATGGCCAATTATATTAATTTGATTTAATTTAAAAGGGATATTAGTAGCATATTATTGAGATGTAAAAGTACATTGATAATTTGATACGAAGTATAATATTATTATGAGAATATTATTGTGATATACTAGACTCGATATTATTGTCCCAAATTAATGAGGTATAAATGTGATACTAGAATCAATAATATTTACCAAAAGTTCACGGAGAACAAGGTGTGAGATTGTAAAAATATGTGTAGTGTTTGATGAACGAGAAAAGGTGTGACCAATATCAAGATTTAATCGATTTTCATGAGAGAAACTTTTTCTTTTTTCACAAGGGTAGGTGATGAGAATCGATCACAAGATCTTCTGGAAACGGGAGGAAAGCCTTAACCACTTGAGTTATAGAGAAACTTGAGATGTGAATAATTAGATGATGGATGGGTCTATATATACTGATCAATTAAA